GGACTAGCCTGACACTAGTTGTTGTGGGTTCACAAAGGAGAGAGTAGCTGAGGATCCCCTCGGCTATAAACATCCCTGCATGGCCTGTTCTTTGTGCCGAACAGCTGAGCTTCAGCCTTGAGGAAAGGGAATATTTCATCATCACATGAGATTGCTCCACGGTGTTCATTTCTTCATCAGTTTTCTTCTGTCTGAGCGTCCTTCATAGTTGCGATGCTTTTGCCTTTCATGTGCACGCATGAAGAATGTGCACGCACCTAATTTCATTAACCCGCGGAGAGATTTGCGCTCGACTTGTTTTCCTCCTTCTCTCTGCTGTTTGCTTTCTCTCCACTGATTTTCAATCTATCACTGAGTTTTCCCTAACACATTATCACCATAGCAACTGTACAGTTGTTCACTTTGTTCCTCCAAGCCCATCATCCCAACACACACACACACACACACACACACACACACACACACACACACACACACACACACACATATATAATAATATGATTGTGGTCTTTTAATTTAATTGTAGTTTGTTGATGTTTTTGAAAGATTTAATTCCTCACAGCGATGTCTGGGGACCATTTTGCTCTTATCCAGTGTGTGTTTGTGTTGGGCATAAATAGTTCCACTGACTGTTTGGCAAAACAACAAACAGAGAAAAATTCCCTGATGGAGTATGCTGAATCAAATCACTAAACCAAATCAGCTCTCCAATCTGTTGGTTTGTTTATTATTAAATCTTAAGGCGAGGATTTGGGATGTTTAAATTCAGAAATTCTGTTATATAAGTTTTGTGCTACTTTACCGAGTAGTAGCACAATGATGTTGTGAAGCTAGTTTTGCTTTTTTTTGTATTAGTAGGTCCCTGTTTTGTTTGCATTGTGTAAGTGAGTGATGCAATGCACATTCTGCTGTTGATGGCGGTAATGTGTGAATAGGCGTAGCAATGTACCAACAAAGGCAGTGGGGAAGAAAACTGTGCATTTGCAAATACGAATGTGCAACAAACAAACATTATCATTGCTTTATGAGGAAAGACATGTATTCATCTTGTTTGTTGCATCTCAAGGATGCACTAATGTAAACATAACCTTAGTTTGCATTCAAGAAAACTCCACAGGGCACCTTTAAGACGGTGAGATGTGTGATTCCATACAGATGATAAAGTTGTTTATTTCCTTTTTCCTTTTCCAGCAGCCGTTCTTAGGGACACTTCAGTAGGCAGTACCCTCGATAACAAGGTCCTCGGGTCACTTTGGCTTTGTAGCCTTCAACCCAATTTGTATGAAGCAGATGTGAAGATAGCTCTGAAGGGTCGCCTGTTATCCATTTAACCCCAGACATGACTCACATCAGCCTCTTCTCTCCCTGCCTCACTTTTTACGGTGATAATTTCCAATTAGTAATTAGATATTGTTACCTCTGGTGTGCCTGTCAATGCCTGACTATAATTAGCAAAGACCCGTGTTTGACTCTTGTCACTCCGCTCTCATCATCGACTTCCTCCTCTTCTTCTGCTTGATGTGGCCCTTGTTACGCTCCGAGGAATTCGGCAGCGGCATCATCTCGCCTCACTGGAACCAACTTCCCTCCTGGTTTCGCCTCAGCAGCTCTGTCTGTCAGTGTCGACGGTTTGTCCGCCAGCATCTTTACCCAGCACAGCATGATGTCCGTTATTTAAATGGCTGAGAGGATGTTGGATGGATACAGGCTTATCAAGCTGGTTAGAAATTCATTTTTAGATGTGTCAGTCTCCACTTTTAGATATTTAATGTATTTTGCTATTTTTACGTCTGTTTGCCAGTGCTTCAGCTCCGCAAATAACCTGTTTTGGACCTTACATGTTTGACTGCTTCTCCAAAGAGGAGTAGTTTCATCAACAATATTCAACACAACAATACTCCATATAGGAGATAAACAGATCACTTGGAACAAATCCAAAAGGAAAGCTGTGGGGTTTTATGTGTGCGTGCATGTTTGCATGTGCCAGACAAAAAGATGAGTTTCTTTCCGTCTTCTCTCAACTCCCAGGCGTTTCACCCATGGATGGATTACTGAACGATGTTATCAGGCCCAGGGGTCCAAAGGGCCCCTAAACCACAGTGTCTGTGTGAAGAAGCTGTTATGTGCATTTGTTTCAATGTCAAAGGGCTCAGTCATTCTTCATAATGGCACTGTCATGACAGCTAGATAGAGTGCTTCTGTAGAACATTTAGGCATTGTGCTCCATATTGACACCATGCAATGTGGGTCCTCCGACTCTCATGGAAGAAATAAAAAACATCTACAACTATGTATCCACTTAATTTTAATCTGGCAGCGTGGGCTACGATGAAAGCTGCCAAGAGAGCTGCCTCTGTGTTTTCACATTTAAATATTGTGCATATTATTCTGTTTGATACGTAATCAAAACAAAGAACGGAACAGGCTCAACTTGCTGCCTTTATGTTGAGTCTCTTGAAACCCTTTGTGCTGCAGCACTCACAAATGTTCATTATTTCTTGTTTTGGCAGAGCCCGAAACATCTGTGGACTGCTGGTAGCAAGACTCTATACTTATTACAATCCATAACCTACATTGCGTTATAAGGTGTACTTTGTGCAGTGTTACCTCCTTATTTATTTCCCTAATAATGAGCTTGACTAGAAAGAAATACAATTCATAAATCATATGTCACTTTATTAGGTTTTGGGACGATTGCAGATAGTGATGCAGTAAAGCAGCAGGTCAACACACTGGCCCTGCAGGGAGTCCTACATTAAAGAAACAGACAAAGGGACGATGACACAGAGTAAAAGAAAGAAAACATATAAAGGGAGATGAGAAGGCTTGCCATAAAAGTATGAAACATGCAGGGTTCACTATCCAGAGACTTGGAGGGGAAGGGAGTGAGGAAGAGGGTTGGTAAAGTCAAAGAAAGAGGAAGGAATAGAGAACAGGGAGATCTCCTCTGTTGCTAGGGACTCCCTGGTTTCCTGTTATTCACTCTCTTTTAAGATACATTCAATGTTCCCACAATTGAAAAGTTGAAAAGAATGAGTGTCCATGCAGTAAGGAGGCGAGAATGGTTTGCAGAAGGAGGGAGACCCAAGAGAGCAGACTGAGGACACGAGGGGCATGACCATGACGCCATCTGTTTTTTTTTTTTTTTTTTTTTCCAAGAAGAGCCTTCAGGAAAGGCCAGAGGAAAGGAACAAAAAATAGGCGAGCTTACCAAAAGGAGAACATACTAATTAGACTTTTCCGGGACCCTCACACCACTGACTCACTCCCCTGCCAATCACACCCTAACCACTCAACAGCTCCCTCCTCTTTCATGCACTGACTTTCCCTCTATGTCTCTCTGTTGCCATCTCACTCTCCTTCTTCTTTCCGTCGTCACATCGTTTGCTTGATTTAACGTGTTTATGTTTGTGGGGGAAAAAGGCACTTTTCAACGATGTGGGCCCACTTACTCAGTCAGTGGCCTGTATAATTACACATGCAGCCATTCTGACACATTTCAGCGTGATGGAGGCGACGCTGGTGGGGGTTTACCCACCCTCATTTGCAGGGCTTTAATTACAGCTATGTTTGTTTTGTGGTGATTGTAGAAATTAGCTAACCTCAGCTATCACAATACTGACTGGAGAATATATAAATCGATTTCCAACAAATGAAACTTGCTGATTAGCAGATCCCACTGCAGATAACCATACGCGATTACTGTATGTGCCGCAGAAAACATTAGATTTTTTATAATAATGTTATCCAGTTTCTGTTCACTTGAATGAGATTTCTTGGAAACCTATCAGAGCATCAATCCCCAATTGCTCATTAGGTCGATTTTTACTCAGCCTGGGTGCCAGATGTTCAGGCCAAAATAAACAGTTGCTCAGTTACGCTGCTCCTGGCACCGCGCGATCACTGTACGGTGTGTATTTGTGCCTTAATAACATTTGAAGACTGAAACGGGGAGGATGCTGGGAAGGTTTCCAGGATGACAAGATGGAGAGAACTGACACCAAGCACGAAAACACTCGAACCTTGCACATTCCCACACACTGTTAACGGCCTGACATTTCCTTTCCATCTGGATCTTTCTTTCTTTCTTTCTTTCTTTGCGTCAGTCTTGTCCACCGATGATACGATAAGATGATTATTCATAGTGTGATTTGTAAATCATAGAGATAAAGCTAAACAGCCATTAAAGTGAAGTGCTGTTTAGTGTGTTAATGGGGCAAAAAAAAAAAAGCTGTTTGGATGCTTCCTTGCAATCATCTATTCCATTAATTTCTGAAGGAGACATTAAGCAGTAGAGTGATGAACAGACGCTGTAAGAAAGGTCCATTAATATTCCCTCTAACAGAGATGTCGCTTAAATTATGATCATACATTTTTTTTCTTCACTTTTCTTATAACGTTACACTTCAGCCTCAAGAGGTTCCTATTAACTTCAAACTGTACTCTGAATGTTTATCTGATGGCTCTGTGGCCTCAAGAAGTAAAGGAATTGTATTTCACTTTTGCTTGTCAGAAGCAAAACACTGTAAAGCGTGTTCAAGGGGGGAGAAAACGAAGCACGCTGTGAGTTTACCAGCGCGAGATAAAGCTTCTCCCCTTGCTTTAGAGAAGATCATACGAAATACAAATTTGATATGTTTTGGAAAGTGTTTCTAATGTCTCTTATTTCCTGGACAACACAGAAGAACCTATGGAGGGGATCTGATATTACAGAAGAAACTGGATAATCACTCATAGTCCCCAGGAGATGAATCAGATTTTTCTGACTTTTGATGATTTTGATATTTTCATCTATTTCTGAAATATCTCAGCAACTATTGGATGGATTGTGATGAGATCCAGTACACACATTCATGCTCGTCTGAGGATGAATTGTGATCATTTTTGTTACCAAATACAACAACTAATGACATTCCCATCAGCCTCAGCTGCTCTTCTTGAGAATGACAGTTTAAAATAATTATGTTTTTTCCCCCCATCACTCTCTCTTTGCTGCCCAGGACCCCAGAAGCAAGCACAAGTTCAAGATCCACTCATACGGCAGTCCCACCTTCTGTGACCACTGTGGTTCGCTGCTGTACGGTCTCATCCACCAAGGGATGAAATGTGACAGTGAGTACACACCCTGTCTGTGTGTGTGTGTGTGTGTGTGTGTGTGTGTGTGTGTGTGTGTGTGTGTGTGTGTGTGTGTGTGTGTGTGCGTGCACCTGTGTGGAATATGCTGTGCTGGTTTCCGTCCCACAGTAGAGCCGGCCCTAATGAGAACAGATGGGAATAGACTGGTACTGTACTACTCTCCGCCACATCTGCAGCCAATGCAGAAATCACTGTCCCGCCCTGCTGAGTCCTCTCTGCGCTCCCATTCTTTCCACCCACGCTCCTCTATTAACTCTTCCCTTCTTTCTTTGCATCTATGACCTGAACCTGCACTGTATTTTTTTCATTTTAATTCTCCTTTTCCTCCCACTTCATCTCTTTCTTCCATCTTTGAAATGTTTCTCTCTCTACTCCCACACATCCTTCCCCCTTCTTTCCCTCTACATCATTGCCCTGCCATGTCCCTCCTCCTTATGTATCCCTCACTGTACCTCCTCTTTGCTTCCACTTCGTCTCTATCCATCACCCTCCCTCTCTCTCTCTTCCTCTTACTCCATCCATCCGTCTGTGGGTCTCTGGTGGCGGCCTCATCACAGATGGTAATAGGAGCACACCAGAACAAATTGATGTGGGGAGGCCATCGCCATTACGAGCTGCTTCCCCGGTCTCTCGTCTCTCCTTGTCTCCTCTCAGCATGTCAGCCTGACAAGCCTGCTGACTGGAGGGAAGAAGGGGGAGAGAGCGGGAGAGATGGATGGTTGGATGGAGGAGGGCAGAAAATACAGAGAGGAGGAAAAGATGAGGAGGTTAGAGAGAAAGTTAGAGGGCAGTAAGGGACGGAGGAGGAAACGAGGGAGAACAAATGTCCTCTCTCCCCTCTGGTCTCTCATCTGTTTGGCTCTGTTGTGTGTGTGTGTGTGTGTGTGTGTGTGTGTGTGTGTGTGTGTGTGTGTGTGTGTGTGTATGTGTGTGTGTGTTTGTGTGTGTTTGTGTGTGTGTGTGTGTGTGTGTGTGTGTGTGTGTGTGTGTGAGAGAGAGAGAGAGAGAGAGTACAAGAAAGAGTTGATTCAAATGACTTTTAGCCTCTGTTCCGTTCCAGTAATGTTAACAATCAGAATTAGAATCAGAATCAGAATCAGATTTATTGCCAGGTAGGTTTTTACACATACGAGGAATTTGTCTTGGTGCAATGGTGCTTAAAATATACAATCACACACACACACACAAAAAAGATAAATATATAAATAACACAAAAATATACAAGTCACACAAAAATCACACAAGAATAAAGTACTTTTAAAAAAATAAAGATAAATAAAGATAAGAAAGATAAGAATAAGATAGCAAGTAACAAGTAATGTTTATCAAAATTAAGATTTCCCATCAACCTTCTCTCTCTCTTAACCCACAAATTTAACCCACAAATTACTTTTCCATTCTCATTTTACTGCTCACACTAATGCCAATGCCAATATATTGCTGCTATTTACACACAAAAAAACAGAACTCTACTCCCCTTTTGTACCATGATTCATCTAATTTCCCTACAATATCAAATGTTGTCTCATTTCCTGGAGTGATTATATATTTTCTAAGTTAATGTGGCGATAACTTATTGATGTCAAGTGCTACAGAGCACCTTGACTGCTGCTTTCACTCATCTAAAATAGAATTTCTGTACTGAATCATCTCCAAAACCAATCTTTTTGCCACATTCGGTCTGTAGCTGGAGTTACAGTCTCAGTCCTCTAAAAGGTTAAAACAGGCATTAACTTTACTTCAGTATGTTGTGAGAAGTCCAGAAGACATTCAGAAACAGGGCAGGCCTTTATGAATCTGCTACATTTTTAGTAGTAATAGTTGTAATAGTTGTAAAAGTGATTTATCCAGTTTCTTTTGGCTCTCAAATCTGAAGAGATATTAAAGATTCTACATGAAGAAAACTTGAACTTTTCATTTCAGTTCATTTTTTTAAAGAATAAACAGATGCAAGTTAAATCCTTATATCTTATGTATTGTGTCCTTTTATCTATTTCTGCTTTGAGCATACATGTGATAAATCATGAGATAACCTGAGAGTTGATCTTAAATGTGTGTTTGCTCTTAAAAGCATTTTTAAGTGTAACTTCAGGTTTACTGAGTTCAAAACCACAACTCTCTGTCCTCTTCTCTGTGGTTCCATGAATCCTTTTTCAAATCATTTTTTTGTTAATTAGAGTAATTTAGCACAGCTCCCTGCAAAAAAATTGTTTTGTGCTCACTCTGTGACTGCTGCTGAGATCTCTGTAGAATAAAGGTTAATTCAAGTTTCTTTTCCCCACCGCACCACACAACTCTATATCACAAATTGCATTAAGCTGTTTAAATTCATTACCTGTCATCCCCTTGTATGCATGATTCACCTTCAGATGCAGTAAGGAAAGAGGAACATTTCATTTTTAACACAAGGAGTTACAAAAGTCCTCTGCAGATAAACTCAACACTCTGTTTTCTGTCTCTAGCTTGCGACATGAACGTGCACAAGCAGTGCGTGGTCAACGTGCCAAGCCTGTGTGGGACGGACCACACGGAGCGTCGGGGTCGCCTCTTCCTCAAGATCGAGGTCAGCTTGGACAGACTACACGTCACAGGTTGGTCTCAGTCGGTGTGTCGTTTTGTGTTGTGCGGCACTTTATGGCGTTCAGTCTCAGAGTGACGTGAGCAAGAGGCTCCCTGATGTGACTGTGAGTGGTTAATTTTTAGACCATTGAAAGAAAATCTCTGGGTTTATTCATATTCATATCTCCCGGATACTATGAGTGGCTGAGACTTGTGTTAATGAACTATTCAGAAAAATGTGTTCATTCTGCCTGTAGCACTTGTCTCATGTGGTCACTCACTCACTCAATGAAAGGATGCAGAGGGAAAATATGTCAATATGCTGCCACAACTGTAACTTTACAATGCTAAACATGTTATTTTGCTCGACAAAAAGGTTTCTTTTCTTTGTCAGTGTCAGTTTTAACTCTGATGCCAGGGTTTTTAGTTTGGATGTTATAATAAACACATTTTTTTAACGGATTAACCTGGGAGTCTTCTTCCTGCCCACTAGGAGGTAGAACTGGCATTAAACTCCCATTTGTTACGCAAGTGATTTTATCACTGCCAAGTGGATACGAATCTATATGTCTGTCTGCAGCCCTGCCCAGGTCAACCAAGCCCCTAGGAACAATGGTGAAGACACTCGTTGCATTATCATGAGCCAAATGGTCCAGTAAAAATGAAAAAGTCTTAAAGAACCAGATCCATTTTTATTTAGATACATACAGGCAGCTCTGGCAGCTCAGCCAGAAAAGGACTGTTGCATGCTCTATGGTAGTGGTTCTATAAATAATGTATAAAACTACATCTTGTCAAATATGGGTCAATTTGGCGGTCCTTGACACCAAAAAGGTTGAGAAGAACCACTGTGACTCAGTTACTTTCACCAAAAAGCAGAACGCAACCTTTAACAGAATGAATTTGGTGCCATTCTGAATCATCATCAGTGAGGTCAATGATGAAGTTGCAGTGATAAAGACTTAAAGAGAGGAATAAAGGCAAGAGTAATGTTGGAAAAGAGTTTAAAAGAAACAAAATGAAGTAGATATATAGCTTAAGTTTAAAATGATAAAATTCTGAAGTGGTTGGACAAGGTTTTACTGTATGCATCTGTGTCAGCACAAAAATGAAGTCATGACTTCCTTCATAACCCGTGTGTGTATTTTCAACACCTCCAAATTATCCTGTCAGTCAAGAGCAGCACCTGGAGTGGACGACTCTCCGGTGTTAAAACGCCTTTGGCAGGGAGAGAAATGGGTCACTTCCACAACCTCTTTCTCTCTGTCACACACACTACACACACATACACACACACACACACACACGGTGAGATGGTGGTGGTCAGGGAATTTGAGTGCTGAGGCCAATAAAATGTTTTTAACTCAGTGGGGATCAGACAGGAATAACCTCCAGCTACAGCGGGAACAGAGTGGCTGATGTGATTGATTTAGAAATATGTTGCTTTAATAAAAATGTTTTCTTTGTTTACAGTCTTCCAGATGGATAGCAATAGGGACGGAGAGAAAGTTGTATTCACAGTAGTCTTACATCATTTGTTCTCTCTACTTGAATTGCTTTTCAGTTTATCATATCGCTGTCTTTTTTATTTGCTCTGCTGCAACATTCAGCTCTTTTGTCCGTTGCGCTGTGGAAACAAGGTCTGTGATGTGACAACCACCGTCAGCAAGAACGAGGAAATGAGGCGGAATATTAACAGTGATGACAGCGGTGGTCTCGTTGACATGGTTACCTCAGTCGTTTCAGATTAGGCTAAAGAGACACAACTGAAACTGAACTGGCTCGCATTCATGGAGAGAGTGGGAAAGACGGCTGTTAGCATGTTAAATTGATGTGCTTCCCCCACCCCCACCCCCCTTGTGTTGTCCTTGATTTAATGAATACACACACCAAAAACTCCCACCAGTGTTCCAGCGTTTATAAAAAGTGTTGCTGCAGCTTCACACTGTGTCCACTACAAGTAAACGTACAGCCGTATGCTCTGCAGCACCTGCTACTGGCATATGTGGTGTCTGATGTTTAGAAAAAATACTTCTGTGTCTGTTTTCCCTTCATCATATGGCTGCTCTAGCTGTCTTTCTCAGAGCGGCAACAAGTGAGTGTGTTCATTAGTTTGGTAAAAACAGCCCAAAACTCAAAGTTAGTAAATTTACAATAAAAATAAATTTAAAAAAAACAGAAAAAAGCAGCAAATCATCATATTTAATAATTATTTGGCATTTTTGCTTGATAAAAGACTTTGAAGATGAATACATTTTCAAAATTGTTGTCAATTTTGATGTGTTGGACAACTAATCGGTTAACTGATAGATTTAAGCACTAATCTTTATGTAATGCTTGCTTACGCATTGTGTAAGGTTAAAGAAACAGTGTGTAGGATTTAATGGCATCCAGCAGTAAGGCTGCAAAAAAGGCTACTGTAGAAACATGGCAGTTCAAGATGCCGGCCTCTGTGGAAGAGGACCTTCACCCTCTGTAGATAAAAAAAACGCTCATTCTAAGGTAACAAAAATACAATGATTTTTATTTTCTGGTAATTACTCACTAATAAAGACATACCGATGAATATTATATTTTAAAGTTATTCTGCTGACAGATCCTCCTACAAACTGAACCATTAAATACAAGGTTTTTACCATAAGAATCAGGTTTATTGTCAGGTACAAGGAATTGCCTTGTTGTTTAGGTGCATGACAATGAACATAATAAAAGAAAAGGAAAATAAAGTACAGCAAAAGTCAAGAAATGGAAATATTTACAATATAATAAAACAATTTATTTAAAAAATATGATGAGCTGTGAAGTGTTTAATAGATGGAATGTGCAAAATAATGACAGAGGAATGTGCAAATGTTCCCAGTATTGTATGTATTATACTGAGTACAGAGATAATAATAAAAGAAAGATGCAGAGTCAGCTGTTGAGACTTAATGTGAATTAAATGAATTGTTCTTCCTCGTCTATTAGAGTCTATTACTAGTGAAATAATTTCAGCGGATCCAGGTTAGATTAAAAGGATAGAAACCTGAAGTACAATAATGAAAACGACGCACCAGCTGAGACAAAGCGTGGACTGTGATTGACAGTATCGAAGGAGGAGAAACACAGATAAAGATCAATACTGAGAACACAATACGGGAGGGAGAGAAGGCAGAGGATACATGTTCTGCAGTGTTTTGTTTTGAGTTTAAGATGTTTTTTCCCCCTCTCTAATGGCAGCGGTCTGAACAGTGAAGCCTCAGCTTGTTCTCCGACTCCCCTCTGGCTCCCACAGACAAGTGGCGGGCCTTTGTGGTTCACTGCACTGATGTGAACTTGATTAAATCTTTCCAGCGAAGAAAACAGACACATCTCCTGCTCTCTCTCTCTCTCCCTCTCTCTCTCTCTCTCTCTCTCTCTCTCACTCCGCAACCCCCCTTCCTCTCCTCTTTTCTCTCTATCTCTCCCCTCCATCCCTTCTTCCAATATTGACATTTTCTGTTATCGTCTCCTACCTGTTCCTTCGAGACCTCAGCATGCCTCTCCTCCTTGCTCTCTTCATCCATTTTCCCTCTGTACCTGCTGAGCTCCTGTCCATTCAGTCACACTCATTTTCTTCCTTCCTTTTCTTCCTCAATAAGACATCAACATCTGTCCTTTTCTTTTTTTACATCATCCTCTCTTTTTCAACAAGCTAAAACCGTTGCTCGGTTAAGTGGCTTGTCCATTCCCTTCTTCTTCTACGTGCTGTCTCTCTTGCTCTTTCTACCTCCCTTGAAATGTTTTTCTTTCCTTTTCCTTTTTTCCCACTGATTGCCTCTGTCATCCTTCTCTTACCCCTGTGATCGACGTGTCTTGGAGCAAAAGTGACATAAATTACTTGTGGGCATGTGGGGAAGTTTAGTCTTAGAAAAGGTAAACATGCAAACGTCCCCCCTCGACCTGCCTAGATAGACACAAACATTTATAGGGCATCTGAGGATGGGGCTAAAATGAGCACACAGCGGTTTACTCAGGGTGAGATTTCCCACTGCTGACATGCTCGCCTCAGGTTTGAAGCACTGTTGAACAAGACTTTTTTCCTCCAGTGACACAACTCATAGCAAGACATCAGCCCTGTCGTACAAATAAAGGCTTAATATCTGATATTAGCCTTTTTATTCTTTGACAAATATTATTCTCACAGCATCAATTAGTGGGTCTCTATCTGATTGGTACGTGTGTGTTTTCTGTGTTTTCTGTGACAGCATGCATGAATAGGTTAGGTTTTTACCTTTTTTAAAATATTTGTATCATGTACATCAGCAACAACAGTTTATTTTAATTCCATGCAGCATATTTATATATATAAATCCAGTATAACACAATGTAGTTTTACTAAAATTATTTTTTTTAAGAATAATGTATTGTTCATGTATTTGTCAACAACTAACTCCTCCTGGCAACAATAAACAGATACTGAAAGATACAATATAATGCAGTTGCAGCCATATATTCACATATAAATATGAAATATCTATTATTTAGTATTATTAAGTATTTATTTATTAATAAATATTTGTTCACTATCCATGACAAATATGATATGCAGCTGAAATAGATGACTAGAAAAAATTACTAGAAATTGTGTTTATCAAACCACTATTTCCAAGTTCATTAAAGCTCAACACTTCTTCATGAGCTTTGAACACACTTTTACATTTTTTTAAAGCCGCCTGTGACGTGTATAAAAAGTTAATAAATGTAGTAATGTCCTGTTTCTAACACCACACATATGCTGTGCACACAACACACAGCAGCTGCAGTTTATTAAGCTAACATGTTTTGCTTCATGAGTGGGTTGAAAACGCTGTCTCTGGCTGACTTTGTCATGCTTCCAGCTTCATTTTAACATAAGAACCCTGTAAAAGGATCTTAAATATGCACGTAACTTGCATGCACGTAGCGGCTGTGCATGTCCCAAGCAAAAGGTTAGCATCCTCATCACATAATCCTAGTGTTATGATAAAGAAAAACATAAGATCAGAGAGTTATTTCTGTCTAACATAACTCTGTTTATCTTGCTTTGCTAACTTACAAGCCAGACTTTATTCGTGTTTTAACTTTGTTTCACTTTTAACGTTAACCCATGGAAGTAATGCATTACTACTGCAGGTATAAGCTCGTTGGCCGGACGTGCTAACATTAGCAGCTTACTGTCAGGGCAAACAAACACGCCGTTTAATCAATCCACTATTTTGTTCTTGTCTTTATGTTTTTTGAAAGGCTAAATGTTGCCAATAAATCTCAGATGGAGAAATTACTTTTGTTTTGATATACTATATTGTTTTTGTATATTGTTCTGCTTTTGGTTGTCAACTCAGCAGAACTCATTATCCTTTAAATAGTATACTTAAACACTTTCTCACTGAAAAAGACAAGCGCTCAAGACAAGTGTTCAATGAATTCTGTTTTAGGGGAGAGTGGGTGGAATTTTACAAAAACCCAAAGCACCACTCATGTCTCACTGGAGAGTATCATTTCCTTCTAAAGCCCGGCCTTTGTTGAATTTCCTAGCAGTTCCTTAAAACAACCACATACAGAAATAGAAATCTTAAGGTCATTTTGGGTCTCCTTCTCCCTCCACTGTGTCTGTTTGTGTGTGACATCTGCATTCACATCCCTGGCAGTACACTGCTGGGATCCATCCAGCTCCCGTCCGGCCGTGCAGCTTTCCCCCAGATTATCAGGCATTCATTGGTTGCACATGGCATTGTTATGCAACAACACATTTGAATTTCAAAGCCTTTTCGGGAGATTACACTGTCGGCACACCACACGCACCCGCCCCGGGATCCAAATGAGATGTAATTTTTAGCTGTGGCATATTTTTATTAAGCAGGCATTCAGATCAGATACAGAAGATAATGTTGAGATGATCGTATGCAGACTCAAGTTTCTGACTGAAATTGTCTTTAGTTTTACTGGTAACACTGAGTGCGGAGAATAACACTGTTTAGAGAAATTATCGTATGACACAGAACATTTTTAAGAAGAAAGAACTTGAACTTTGTCCCTCATTATCTCTAAACTACAAAGGATCGAGGCTGTAAAAGTGTCACTGCACTGTCTTTTCGTGTATTTGTTGGTACTTTTGTAAAATCAGAACATTTAACTGCGTGTGACAGTGCAGGACGGTTGCAACGGCAGCAGAGTGGATGCAGAGTGGTGGTTTTTCTTCTTCTATGATGCATAATGTGAACAGCAGCCTCATTTCAGTGATTGTGAATAGGTGAAGTCTCTAATGGAGTTAACATTGAGACGTATAATCTGCTTTTTCTGCCTGTATCATGTCTGTTATACCCCCCCCCCAACAAGTGATAAAGTAAACACACACACACACACACAATTTTATTGGTAACTACCTCATAAGGAGCAATGGGAAGGGAGGATACAGAAGGAAAGCAGCTCTTGTTGTATCTAAGCAACAACAGACAGCAGAGATGGTCCTTGATCACTGCTGATGATGATGTTTCATTGTGTGTCTGTGTGTGTGAGAGTGAGAGAGAGAGAGGGAGAGAGAGAGGGAGAGAGAGAGAGACAGAGAGAGAGAGAGAGACTGCACATGTACGCAAATACATTTACTGTGTGTGAAATTTAAACACACACTTCTGTGTTCTGCATGTGTGTACAGTCGTCTGCGTGTGTGTGTGTGTGTGTGTGTGTGTGTGTGTGTGTGTGTGTTTGCCTCATTAGTGTGTTTACACGCTTGTTGAAGTTGCTTTGGCGTTGTTTGGCGCCAGCGTTGCCATGGAAGTGACTGATGCCTGTAACGTTGCCACAGCCAGCAGAGGGGAGGATTTAGATGAGAACGTGGGATGCTGAGATTTTCCTTCTGCTCCTGGTACTTTTTATTGTGTGTGTGTGAATTTGTGCAACAGTATCAGTGTGTGTGTGTATATGTGTGTATGTGGGCTTGTGGGTGAGCGAGAGACAGAAAGAGAGAGACAAAGAGACAGGGAGGGGGATTACTGTAGCTGAGAATTTGTATTGGATAAGGAGTGAACTATGAGGTTGAAGCAACACATTCATGAACAAGGTAAAAGCTTCTGACACTGGCTTTTTTTTTGTTTTTGTCATATATATGCAACTCAGAATGAGAGACCTACAATGCCCTCTACTGCAGAAAGCTGGTACAGCATGATAAGTTGACAAGAAATATTATGATATACCACCTTATTGTCCTTATTCAAATCCTGTGATCTGAGCCCTGTTCTTTTCATTCAAGGATTCCCATGCTTGAATTACATATTAAGGCGTTATATTTTCATTCATGTTTCTGCCATAAATCGGTTTTCCATCTCTTTTCTCTCCTCCTTGCACACTGTGATGAATATGGAGATTTAGAGCTCGTTTTTCTCCCTTCACTAGAAGCTATTTATAGTTTTTTGTACAGTGTTTGGAAAGTAATTCCCACAGCCCTTAAAAAATGCCCAAAATAGAAAATCCAGTAGGCTATAGGACAGCAAGTGATGAATACATTGCTGATTAATCTGATCTTTAATACTCATCATGATTTCCAAAGCCTAGTAGGCACAGTCAGGTTGTATAATTTGTTCGAGCAACATAAAATAATCACATTATAAAACTGAAACAGTGGATTTAAGGGGATTTTTAGCTATCAAAAATAGTTGCTGTGTAATTTTCTGTTAATTGACTAATTGATTAATTAATTAATCGCCCACTAAAAATGAAGCCTTGTTCCTGTTTCATGTTATTATGCTTATTATCCCTTAAAAGCATGTTTCCTTACAGACATCACAGTCACATCCAGCAATGACAAACAGCTAAATGTCAAATAAATCTAATTAAATCTCCCTAAGACAGACCTAAATGAACTGCGGCAACTCTAAATGACATGGTCTTTTCTAATGTTTGCGAACGCTTTGTATTCAGCCCTGGAATATTTATGCTTCGGAACGAAAATACATTACCACTGTTTTAATGAAGAACCTCAGCGAACGTGTCCTTGTGTGAAAGTTCACACTGACTCTCTGAAACACTCAGATTACAGCCTTTTTCTCCTGCACTGTGTCTGATTACATTTAAATATGCAGAGTGGGGGGATTGGAGCTGGTAAACACAGTTTCAGAGGATCAGTGTGATCTTGTTTCTGCTCTCCGTCTGTTACAGTTTTGTCATGAGTTAGATTTTCTCTGTTATATTGTCTTTCTTTCTTTCTTTCTTTCTTTCTTTTTTCTTTCTTTGTGACTTTCCAAGAGCTGACATTTGTTGTGTGTGTTCACACGATGATGCTAAGTGGGGCAGTGCTGGAGTCGGCCCATTGGCCACTTACAGTAGATGTTGTCGCCATGGTGAAGGTGGCATGCTCACACCACCCTGTCCCCCTACTCCTGTTGCTATGTAACAGCACTCCTTTTTTTTTCCACTTGTCAGTTATCACACAGGGAAACGTCACGCCTCCATCACATTATCTGCTCACCTATTGCCTAACCGTATGCAAGAGAGTATGCTGCAGGAAATCTATTCACTGCCTCCAGTGAGGAGAGTTTATTATCACCTGTCTTTTTTACTTGTTTTACAACAGAATGCGTGAGACAGACTTTTAGGCGAGTAGTATTTCTTGTTTTTGTTGATTTTACATTTGTTGTGCGGCCTAACACCCACCAGTGTTAGAATCCAGTTGGTGCTGTTTCACACTGTCAACTTCAAGAGAATGTTGAGAGTATGTTTTGCTTCGTGGCACCTGTTATCAGAGCATGTGGTGTCTGATTAGATGAGCCATTAGCTGAGTAACTGAGGAGTCTGTGTCTATCTATCTATCTATCTATCTATCTATCTATCTATCTATCTATCTATCTATCTATCTATCTATCTATCTATCTATCTATCTATCTATCTATCTATCTATTTTTCTATGTCTCTGTGTGGTTTTGCCTGTTTTGCACAACAAATAACGTTGGGGGCATATAAATAGCAACGACTGCTGACTAAGGCTGGGTGTGATTGATACTGATACGACGCCTTAAACTTTATTTTTGTCAATTCTTGCTGTGAGACATAAACATAAGAAATAGGAACATGTTTTACATCAAAACAATAGAAGAAGTTAGCAAAATTATGATTTAACTCAATATATTTGTTTAAAGAAAATGTAAATAACAAATCTGGCCAGTACCTACCAAATACTCTCTTCTACAGATTTATATCTGTACCTAAAAAATTAAATATTGCGGTTTGGTACCCAGTGGTACTGCTGACCATGAAGTACATAATTTGTTCCCAGCATACCTCTCAGGCATCCTTTGTTCAAATTTTTTAAAAACTTATGTGACATTGGTCATCCAAGTCCACATATGTAGTACAGAGAAGCAACTGCTGGGACTGAAGCTTCGATAATTTCTGTTTGCTGTCCGGTCTTGGAGTGACTTGCAGTGACTCACCACTCCTGTCTACACTCTTCCATCTCTGTCCATTTTAACCCGTGAGTCATGTGTGGAGTCATGAATCTGGCTCGGGGCTCGAACACACACACATATGGTTACATTTTCTCTCTCTCTCTCTCTCTCTCTCTCTCTCTCTCTCTCTCTCTCTCTCTCTCTCTCTGTCTCCCTTTTTCTTCTAGTGGGTGAGGCCAGAAACCTGATTCCTATGGATCCAAATGGTTTATCAGACCCTTATGTTAAACTCAAGCTCACCCCCGACCCAAAGAACGAGACCAAACAGAAGACCAGGACCATCCGTTCCTCTCTCAACCCCTGCTGGAACGAGTCCTTTACCTTGTGAGTCTGTGTGTGTGTCTACTGTTGTGCCTAAGAAGTTTATATAGTTCTAAACAATCCAAGGAAATACAATAAGGACCTCTGTCGTCACATATTGCTACTTTTTCCCCTGTTTACATATTCAGTAAGCTGAAAGCATCAGATAAGGACCGCCGTCTGTCCATTGAGGTGTGGGATTGGGACCGAACCACTCGAAACGATTTCATGGGCTCCATGTCGTTTGGAGTGTCCGAGCTGATCAAAGCTCCCCATTGTGGATGGTCAGTGATTTTTCACTTCTATTTATTGCATCAATAAATGGTCCAATTTGCAACTTATACAAGTGTGACGTAGAAACTTGAAGCCTCCAGTGCACATACAGAGAATGGAGTTTTCAATTAAGTAGGAGATATCTTGTATCCAGCAAGAGTTAATGCCTTTTTAAGGCTTTTAATGTGGAAATTATACTTTTTTAGCGGAAAAACATACCAGACACACATTATTGCTCCAAACAGACTATTAGTATATATGTCTTAATACATATCTGGAGGGGATCTATAATAAAATGTGGCTCAAGTGACTTTTCTTTTGAAGGGAGGCCTGAAAATAAAGGATACAATACAATAATATATATTAGACTGTAGTAAGAGTAAAAAAGGTATAACTAAAAACATAATTAGAGGAATATTCACAGAATATGAATAGAACAATTAAAGGACGGACCAATGTCTAGGATTTAGTGGCATCTAGTGGTGTAGTTGCACCCCTTCTGGGCTTCTGTAGAAGCACTGTGGTTCAACATGGCATCCTCTGTGGAAGAGGAGCAGATAAAAACTGCTCCTTCTAAGGTAACAAAAACATAGTGAAACTTATTTTCAGGTGATTATATGAAAACATGAATATTAAATTAAATGTCTGCCAATGTTACACACTTGACCTTTAATAAGTAATGAAAATAAGTACTGTGGATTGCTCTGTAAAATGTTCCACAGTCATTCTGTGACTGTATCATACTATAAATACAGCTCAGTGAAGGTGTCTCTTCACATAATTATCACAAATTATTTTACCACAGCTAACAATTGGTCCTTTAAACTTGTTTTTTAACAAGCCTGTTTACAGTGATTAAATTATGGTTTTCAAGAGCTTTCAAGAGTTTTATTTTGCATATAGACAAAGAGCCCGTTTTATTATATTTCTTACAGCCAATTTGTTAACTTGAAACTACACGGACCACAACCAACGTCACTAAAACAGCAGTACATTGTATGTAAAACAGACATAAACACCGCCGGCCGAAGCCAAACTCCATTCACTCTGACAAACAGCCGAGCGCTGGCGTCATTTCCTCACCTTTCTGTCATTGTCTGTCTGCTTTGTCTCACACTGATAAACACACACTCACAGAGATGTTAAAGTCACTCTCCCATGTTAGCATACCTGCCTCCACCTAGCCTAAACCGAGCCTGATCGACTGCTGCTTTGAGCGCAGTTAGAGGCTCCAGGAAATACCTGCACATTGGCATTGGCAGCTCGGAAACTTTGCGTCCATGTGTGTTTGTCTGAGTATTGTCCTGTATGTTCCAGGTCATGAGATGAGTGGGCTGAGGGGATGTGTACATTAGAGAGGAAGCAGAGTCAAGTTGGCGGACCTGCAAACCCTCAAAGACTTATGATTGAAGGGGTGCAGAGATGTGAGGTTTTATTGCTGTACGGGTGGACAGAGGAAGAGAAGAGATGCATGGATGAAGGATTAAAATAAACTAAAATTCACTTTCCTCCATTTTTTCTCCCCCATCTCAGGTACAAGTTGCTGAACCAGGAGGAGGGAGAGTATTACAATGTTCCTATCCCTGAGGTGGACGACGTCAACCTGGAGCTCCGGCAGAAGTTTGAGGTGAGGACAAGAGAGCGAGGTTGACTCGGGTCTGTGAATTTGTAACACTGAATAAAAGCTTAAGTAGGTTTTCTTTGTCACACTCGCTCCAACAAAATATGTTCCTCTCTCTCCGTCACCATGGTAACCTTGTCTCTGTTCCCGCTGGTGTTTTTCACCCCGTGTGTCAGAGAGGGAGATCACCTTCTCCTGGCAAGAAAAGTGAATACTCCCATATATATATATATATATATATATATATATATATATATTCAGGGCAAGCTTACAGATGGCAAAGTTCCTGGGGGGGCCCGATGAATGGATACTAATTCATAATACTCACTTCTGTCAATGGAAACAGCTATGAACATCATCTAGTGGTGGTAATCTGAACCTACAACCATTTTAAACAATTAAATGTAACATTAAAGTTACAAACATAACATTGATGTGAGAAATTATTAGGTATGCTTGCTTGGTTAATGTTAGCTGACCAACAAATAGGTAGCTGGTTACTTGGTTAATGTTTGTTGCTAGCCATTCCAGCAAGCTGAACCAACTCTGAACCGGCACCAGCACCAGTCCAAAACTAGCACTAAGTTTCGCGTTGGTGAAAAGAAGAAGAAGATATACTGTATTGATCCCCTAGGGGAAATTGTTCTTTTCTCTTTTTATACACACACACACGCTGAAATGCACATTTCATGCACTTATGGACATGCAAAGGTGGAGTGATGGGGCTGCAAGGTTAACAGCGCCCCATGAGCAGGTTTTGGGGTTAGTTTGCCTTGCTCAAGGGCACCTCGGCAGTGCACCGGAGGTGAAACTAGCACCTCTCCAGCTACCAGTCCACACTCCATATTTTGTGGTCTGTGGGACTTGAACTGGCGACCCTCCGGTTCCCAAGCCAAGTCCCTACACACTGAGCTGCTGCTGCCAAAAGGGGATAGATGAAGTACTTCTAGGTTCAAGTCAACATGGACCTTCTTTGATGCACTGTATTCCTGCATCATTGTTGACTTGAGAATTAATAATAAAAGGATGGGCTACTTTCAGGCACACGTGAAAAAAATCTGGGGTTTTTCACACAAATCATATGGAATCTGATCTTTCCAATTGATTCAGGCCACTTTCTATTAATTTTGGTGTTATTTTGTCTTCATATATTTTCTCTCAATCATGCTTTTTGCACCACATTAGTCCTTTTGCATGTTTTATCCACTTTACTTAAATGTATAGGCTATGTTACATTGGAGTATATGTCTGCCACATTTCCACTTTCCTGGCAGACTCTATGGTGAACATCATAGTTGCTTCTATTACTGTAAAATAATATTGTAACTTTGACTAAAATATAAGTAAATAAGATGTTTTTTCTGGGTTTCAAACACATTCAAAAATCAAAAACACTATTGTTCGCTTTGAAACTGTTAGGCAGTGTTTGTTGATTTGTAGTAAAGCAGAGCTAAATCGTGTTAAAAAAATGGATATGCAACCAACAGTCGCTCTCAAGTGGGCGACTTGTTTACTGCACAATTCAATCAGTGAGGTTTCTATTACCTCAAAAATAAAACTCATAACCTCTTTCACGTCTGTTGTGACATGCGGGTTAGAAGGTGGATGCCATATTAAACGCTGCAATGTAAACAAGTCCAAAGCTGTATTGGATTCACCTGAGAAGACGGAGATGGGGAGAGTGAGGGTAGTTTTATTAAAGTCCAGATCCGTGTGTGTGCACTCAGGTGTTATAATACTGAGTGTAAATGTCATCTCCTTACATCAGTCCTCAAGACACTCAGTCTTGTTGTTTTTAATTTCTCCATTTCCCTCCGCGCTGTGCAACGCTGACCTTGACTTTCTTCTGAGGCCTAGCGTCTTCACACAACTGTGCGGTTGCCGTGGAAACTGGGGGCGAGCTGAAGAGATGCAACCAGATGTGATAGAAAAGGGATTTATTCTGTTTTTCTGGTCACGCCTTTGATTGTTTTTTTAATTGTTTATTGATTGATGGAACAGATATAGAAATAATGACTCATCAGTCCACATGTGCATTCTGTCGCTCCCTTTTAAAGACACACACCAGCTGACCGCATTAATAAGTGAGTTTCTTCTTTCTTTCTAGGCCTGCCAGTTAAATATCCACTATCTCAAGGTAGCTCTTCTGCCTGCTCCGTCTCTTCTTCTCTCGCTGCCAGCTTGCATCACACTCACTTTACTTACTGTGTTAGGATTGTTTGTGGAGCTCTGCTGGGCTTCCACAAATTAATCTGATTTACTAACAAAGGCTCTCAACAACATATAGTTGAACCAGCCCAATTTGCTTGCTGTTATGCACACACTAAACAAACCTGCTTTTTATTTCTCTAACCCCTCTCACATACTCTAACCTCCTCCTTCTTTCTGTCTAACATACATAAACATACAACTAAAGGGACTATATATCATTTTAATATAAAGGAACAATCCAGGCATACATATTGAGGATTTTGCAGCACCTGCAGCAAAGGCCAGATCAGCAAAGTCTGACATTTGCAGCATTTGCATTTGGCTTTCCAGTGCAAACAGGAAAGCAGCTGCTGTTCCTCCAGCACAAACAAGAGCAAAATGCAACATCCTCTTTAAAACTTAAGCCGCAAACACATTAACAGCCAAGGTTTCTACAATTCATATGAGTATAAAATGTAAAATAAAAGTGTATATAACAGCTCTAACATATGTAATCCCTGTCTTGCACACAAACACCAGACAGCATTGTTGTTAGTAAATGTGTTCCTTGCCACTATCAGTGCACTGTCATTGGCCAAGAGAGGCTCACACTCATTGGCTGACAGTGGTCCACAGTCCGCCCTCTACTAGTCTGGCTTTGGTTGGACTATAGAAGGCTTTTATGACATGAAGCATGGATGGACACTGACTTATGCACAGTCTCTGTATGAATGGATGCACCCACAGGAAGGTTCTTTGGTGTGCATGCCAAATCTCTCCACATGGTGGCAGTGTTATATTTAATATAAGACTGGCTGTATTGTATGTGTTTGAATACAACTTTGTGTGGCCACAAACTGACATAAATATTCCAAACTTTTGTTTGTGTTGAAACAGATATATGTTTTTTTGTGAACTGTTAATGTGTCATTTTTATACATGCAAATGGTCCATGTTGTACTGTATTTTGAAAATTACCACTAGATGTCTCTGCAAGGTCAAAGTTATGATAGAACAACTATTGCAAGCTGCAGTAAACAAAATAAGCACAGGATTACCACATTATTTAAATGACAAATGCAACAACAGTGATGAAGTTACATTACTTTTCAAGTATAGTGTTGTAAAACTTAGTTGACATAAACCAGATCAGTTCTGTCCTTGGGTAACCTACTGCAGGAGTTCTCAAGTTTTATGTGATTTTTTTTGCTTTTTGCTTTGCTTTTGCTTTGAGTTATTACTGAGATGTGTTTTTTTTTGCTTTTTGCTTTGCTTTTGCTTTGAGTTATTACTGAGAAAAAAAACAACAAAAAGTAAATCTTCCTTTCTAGATTTTCTGTCAGTAGACTGATTTGTAGAGGCCTAAAGAGGTGATAATATCCAGTATTTTACAAGACAAAAGCAGCAGTTAGAGATAAACCAGAAAAAAACAACATCATTTTGAGTAACAGTTTCCTTTGAATCTTTTTGGGACCCTAAAATGTGCCTTTAGAAAGAAAGCTGATTACCTGGAAGGCAGTTAAATTCCCTCTTTGATGTTTTTCTTCTACTTATCACCTTGCTGTAGCAGTTCACATCACATCTAATATATCTGATATCAGAGAGCAGCTGATTTTCATTCCAGCTGTCTCAGTTACACCTGGGCTAGCAAGTGGAAATAATCAACTGCAGTGACTTACTAGACTTACTGTATTTGGTAGCTTTACAGAGTCAACAGTCCGAGAAGGGTCAAAACGAGAACCTCTCTCCCCCAGACTATCTCTCTGTAACCACAACTGACACACCTAGTTAATGTTTACATTATTCTGCTCTTAATTAACCCAACCAGGTGTACACATAGAGCCTCTTAACCTTAAGTCAGATATGTGACAGTAATTATGTTGAGTGTATTACCACATTGAGTCAAGAGAAGAGAAACGGTTGGCCTGGCAACAGCCTCTTGGTGCCCCACCGGTCGCCTGTTTTCTTTGCTCTATCTGACAGAAACAGACAACCGCCGGAGCCATGATGAGAGCTGGCAGGGTCCTAATTGCCCTTTTTGTTCACACACGCTCGGCAGGCTGGTCATTATAACAACAGGGAACCTTGTAACGCTGGCACCCCCCGCTGCCCACCTCACAATTTCCCAAAATGCACCAGCGCAGAGATCCTGCTGAATATCTGTCGGGCATGTCAGTGGGGGAAATAAATCGCTCAGATCTCTCGAAATAAATAGAGAAAGAATAGATAAAGTTGATTTGACTTTGATGCAAAAATGTGGCTAAAAAGATGATGATAATATATTAGAATATGATGGCCAGCCATGCAAAATACAGTAAAACATATATGAATGGTATTGAAAATCCAGTAGATAACTTTAATTAATATGGTACCATAATCTTACATTCCTTTATGCTACATTTAACATCATCTCTTTTCATGCATGTGTGGTTTTTTTAATGATATTAATCTAACTGAAAGGCTGCAGAATTACACACAATCCTGCTGTGATTGGTAGTTGGCAAGCACACTTCCAGCGGGCTCACGTTTGTTTTTTACAACCAGTAATTAAGTCCTGCTTCTGTGGCAATCTGTGATCTGCATGGATAACTCTCTGTGAAAGCCAGATGTGAATATTTGACTCCAGCTGTTAGACACCAGCATGACGACTGATAATGTCTTCTCCTCGTAGTCATACAAGAGGGGGAGGCACCATACACAGAGTTACTTACTTGTAAACAATACAGTAAAGCTTATATATGATTTATTATTATTATTTGCTTTATTTGTGAAACTATCAATGTACATAAGAACTCATGTAAGACCCTCACAGCAGTAGACAAATAAAAATCTTAAGTATATGTTTTACTTTAATGCCACAGAAAGCCAAGCTGGGCCACGGTAAGAAAGTGATCACGCCGTCAGACCACCGGCGGTTCAGCCTGCCTTCAGGTAACATGGACCGGGTCCGACTGAGCGACTTCAACTTCCTGGCCCTGCTGGGGAAGGGCAGCTTTGGCAAGGTGAGAGCCACTGCAGACGGTAATACAAAAGGTCATTAATTATTGTAGCGCTTTAAATATGGCAGCCAAAGAAACGCCTCCTTGTTTCATCGTGACCTCTGACCTATTGTGTCTTGGTCAACTGCAGGTAATGCTGGCAGAGATGAAGTCAACAGAGGAGCTGTACGCCATCAAGATTCTGAAGAAAGACGTGGTGATCCAGGATGACGACGTTGAATGTACGATGGTAGAGAAGAGGGTCTTGGCCCAGAGAGACAAACCGCCCTTCCTGACGCAGCTCCACTCCTGCTTCCAGACTGTGGTGTGTAAAAACTTCAGCCACAACCCAAGTCGTGGTTATTATACTTTATTTAAAGAGGACCGTTTTGCTCCCTCATCATTCTTTCATCAGCCCATCAGTCTCCTCTGCATTTTAAACCGTGTGTGTGTGTCCCTGTTTGTCTTTCTACCGTTACATCTGTATTTGCCTTACCTTTGTGGGCACTCGTTTGTCAGCACTCTGCAGAGAAAATTAATACTGAGCTGAGACCACCCTTGAATACGAAGTCTCCAGTATGACGTAGACTTTGTGCGTAGACAAGGTGACTCAAGGAGTCTTTAATAAAAACTACATTTACTGATCAAAGCTTCCTGACTTATAATACAGCTATATGAGCTGACCCCAGCTGCTATACTGAAAGAATAGATCACGTCAGGCCTTTTAATATCTCAGGAGGACAACCACGTGTTAGGATAAATGGCTGTAGACTGTTAGATGAATATGAATATCTACATGATTTTATTCCCTATATAATGCACTGATGTTTTAGTGTGAACATATTGTACTTTTCTTTGTGCAGAATCTATCTAGAGCTGCTCTTTGGGCGATAACATGTTTGTTTTTTCTAGGATCGGCTGTACTTTGTGATGGAGTACATCAACGGGGGAGACCTAATGTATCATATCCAACGTATGGGCAAATTCAAGGAGCCACAGGCAGTGTAAGGACACTCGATCCACAGGCACATGTTTTAACAATAACAGAGATATTCACCAGGCAGCTTAAAAGCTTTACAGCCACCTCGAGTTAGTAGTTCAGCCCCTGTAATGTGTTACAGTGACGTACATCAGTAGTTTGTGGTATGAGTAGTCCCATTAACTAGTACACAGGATCTGATGTTATTAGGTCATTTAAGGTTAGATGGATACATATTTATCTCTTGGGTAAGGGATTCTTATGTATTGCTTTCTTGTATTCATCAGAATCAGTTTCCTGACAAATTTCTTTTGTGAAGTTATGTGTTTATTTATGTGTGTTTTTAATTTTGCAGGTTTTATGCTGCAGAGATTGCTGTCGGTTTGTTTTTCTTGCACCGAAAGGGAATCATCTACAGGTGGGTGAGTCAGAGAGAAACCAGTTTTATGTAATGAAGCACCACATTCACCTCAGATTCATTTACTTTTTCATGAAAAATAGAACGCACGCAGGCTGTTTATATTAAAACATTTTACAGTACATCAAAGGATTTTGATAGATAGATAGATAGATAGATAGATAGATAGATAGATAGATAGATAGATAGATAGATAGATAGATAGATAGATAGATAGATAGATAGATAGCTCAATTATTGCATCAGAGTTAGGTAACAGCTCATTTGTATCAGTTGTCCCTGGGCATGCAGACGAAAACCAACAACAAAACAGTAAATACATAAAACAGGACAATACATAAAGGTCCATCAGTAGGTACAGGGAGTATGAGTGAAAGAAAAAGATTTAAAAAAAATTGTAGACCTTGCTGTTTTTTCTGTATTTAACCTGTACAGCTTGGATACCCTCTGAAGTATAATATAATCCAGACTAATCACCTTCATGTACAAAAAAGCAAAAATAGAAAGAACAGAAAGAAATGCTTGACAGAGAGTAAGGTCGTCCTGTTCCTCTTCAGCACTTCAGCGAAGGACTCACATCCATTCTTCATATCCCACCAGCCTTGTGAGCAGCATCCCGACTCTACTCTGTGACATATATACAAGACGTGGTGAATGAGGGGGGAGAAAATGAAGAGACATGAAACAAAAGCAGAGACATAGACTGAATTTTATAAAAAGGACAAAGGAGGCAGGATGAGAGAAAAAAAAATGATTTCAGGACGAGAGTTTATTTTTTTCTGAGCGTATGATGTGTGCTGCAGACAGATAAACTGCTCAGAGAGGTGGCGGTTGTGCAGTGCAACACTTTTCTGTGCTCCTCTGTGCGTCTGTACATAGACAGCAACACACAACTTCTTAACAAGTATCCAGAAATGCATGTACACAAAGGCTCACAACTTCTCTCTGCTGCAGGGATCTGAAGCTCGACAACGTGATGCTGGACTCTGAGGGCCACATCAAAATTGCTGACTTTGGCATGTGTAAGGAGAACATGTATGAAGGCATGTCCACACGCACCTTCTGCGGCACCCCGGACTACATCGCACCAGAGGTGAGAATGGGATGTATAGATTACTGTAAGAATAATACAACAAAAAGCTAACAGATAGCTTTGCATCTCTTTATTAGTGAATGTTAGTGAGTTTGCTAAACCCCGCCCCTGAACAGACAGTGTCCAATCGCAGCTTTGCAACCGTAACTTGGCAGATCTGTCAATCATTCTCTCCACATGTTAAAGTGAACCTACAGCTGTAATGTAGATGTAATGTTATATCGAGAGTTCAGGCTTTTTTCCTAGCCTTTCTAAATCCAAAACCACAGGAGCAAAAGTATAAGAAATAGATTAAACAATGTGTTTTTTTTTTTCTAACTTTAAAGCTGCAGTTGTTAGCATGCCTGGCTAACGAGCCTACCACCAAAAGCAGAGACACTGTAGCACTAGGCTGGTGTTAACTGTGTCCTAGGATTTGGGGAAGTTTATGCTCAGCGTTATTCAAATAGCATTATGTTATAATTATAATAATAGTAAGTCCCATTAACAGAATATACAAGTAATTACTAATACATTTTTCCTTATTATAGGCCCACTAGGTTATTATATACAATAGACCAACTAGCTCTACAATCTAATATAACGACAATATTTATTTAGCTAGCTACATGGCTCATTAAGTGATAAAGATTTAGTGCAGATTTAAGAGCCCCACAAAATTCTTGTTTAAAAACAAGCCAGCTGGATACATTAAAAAGTCATTTTTCAACCGACTCGTGGAGCTAACGTTTGCTTAATTAGCTACTTAGCTACAGCTGATCAAATCTGACAGTGTAACTAACTGAAGGGTGAATTAAGGTTGAATGGGACAGTATAACCATACGGGGTTCATTTTCTCGTCTGATGAGTAAATTTATGGCATTAATTCCACCTGAGAATGGAAGGTTCCTCGTAACATAGCAACTGTAACTAAGGCGATTTTAGTACTATTTTAAAATTAAGATTTATTTGAGGTGCAGTCAACATTTATAATGGATTATATATACACATTGAATTAAGAATTGCTACAAAATACATTTCATTACAACTGTGAGAACAGAACAATACCAAGAGTAACCAGTGTGATCTGTAACAACAACTATATGAGCTTAAAACAGCCTTATAACTAATAAATAACGCTTTCATTAGGCATTTGGCTTTGGTTCTTATCTAAAGTGATCTTTCTACTGTATTCTACTGTTACAAATCACAAGAAATATCAAGCAAGAGATTCAAGTTCAGAAACTTCCACCAAACAGAGAAAAATAAGAGTTAATTCCACAGAGTGAAGAGATGATTCGCTAGGGGAAGATATTTATATTTCTGTGTCTCTATCTGTCTGCACTGACTCATGAGGGAACACTCTGTCAGGTGGGAGGTGAGGGAAGCCCTTACTCCGGGTTTTTCACAGCAAACTTCATCTAGGCATGTCTTTTTCCTTTCTTGAAGCTGTTCTGACTTCAATTTGTGTTGTTTTGTCCTGGAAAGCACTTTGGGTTTACACCCAGGCAAAAGGATCCCAAGATTTTCTGATGAAGTGTATCAGGAGAGAGATATAAACACTTCACATATCATGTGTGGGTGTAGACAAGAAAGCTGAGCAACAAATTCTAACTTTCTGAACTTTACAGTATAAATTGCTGCATTTCTTTCGCTGTTAAAGGCGAGCGCAGCTGTGATTTAGCTCTTTGCTTGTGCGTCTGCATGATTATTATTGTATGTGTGTGTGTGTGTGTGTGTGTATGTGTGTGTGTGTGTGTGTGTGTGTGTGTGTGTGTGTGTGTGCGTGCGTGCGTGTGTGTGTGTGTGTGTGTGTGTGTGTGTGTGTGTGTAGACTGTGTGGGAGGGAGGTGTAGGATGGCAAATTGGATGGTAGGAGAAAGTGCCTTTGTTATGGCAGCTCAAAATAGCTGACTGTTTTTAATGGTGGTTGATTTTGGTTGGATTTTAGATGACAGAAATGCAGCTTTCAGTGCTACAGTTCACAGTTTCTTTGATATCTTTACTGTGGGTCTCTGGGGTTGTGTGTCACACAGCTGCAGTCATCTTTGGCAGCAAAAAATAAAACCATCTTTTATCACTAAACCTGTTAAAAACCACACTTGATGAGGTAGTGCGTGTACACTTGATTATTCCAGGTTTTTTAATCTTTCCCTCTTTTCCCTTTGTCAGATTATAGCTTACCAGCCTTATGGAAAATCAGTGGACTGGTGGGCTTATGGAGTTCTTCTGTATGAGATGCTGGCAGGACAGGTAATATGTCGTACCAATTACTGCATCAGTTGTGGTCTGTAAGGGTTTTTATCTGGTTACCATCCCTCAATTAGGACCATACATTTAGTGGAGTATATCCATAAAGTTGTGCTGTAATACACATTGAATTAAGAATTGCTACAAAATACATTTCATTACAATTGTGAAGGTGTCAAATATATACGGAACAATACCACAAGTAACCAGTATGATCTATAACAACAGCTATGTGAGCTTACAACAGCCTTATAACTAATAAATAACGCTTTCATTAGACATTTGGCTTTGGTTCTTATCTAAAGTGAACTTTCTACTGTATTCTACTCAATTTCAATGACTAATTTAAGTCATTTATCAAGCAAAATTACAGAATTTGCACTTTCACCCCGATCACTGGGACTGATGGGTATTTGTCACTGTTTAAGAATGAACATTTCCATTGATTAATTGCAGAAATAGTTAACAGTTCCATCGATATAGAAATTAATTGCTAGTTGCACCTCTCATACAGAGAGAGAGAAAGTAGCCATATGATGGTGTTTTTAGTTATTATTTTCAAAAAATGTATAGACTAAAAGATTACTCGATTATTCTAAAAATTTATCAACATAAAGATTATTAGTTTAAGCCCTTTTGTACAGTGTAGTACAATTGCAAATGATTTAGAGGAGATTGGAAAACTGTTATGATTATTATTTATTTTAGTTTGTATAAAACCCCCTAAAAGAGTGTTTTATATCCTGCCTTAGCAATACTACAACAGTACTAATGGATAGTATAATAACGCAGAGAACTTTGTTTATAATCAACTTTCCAGGTCCTGAAAGGTGAAATAAACCCACATTTTCATGATTCATTTACTACACAAAGAAAGCCAGCATTTTAGTCTGACACTTGCTTATGACCAGCTTCAGTGATGACAAACTGTGGACGACATGTGTCCTTGGCACAAGAAACGACAATAAAAAGTTATCTGGACTGAACAGTGAAATGCTGAGACACTTACAGAAAGAGAAAAGTACATTTAAGGTTTCCAGTTTCCAGGCAACAGTTCAGCTGAAGATATTTTTCTTACTAAAGTTGGATCACGAATGATTGATCCATCCAGATCCCTTTTTTGTGTTGTCAGAGTAACATACATGTACTCACCCATGAACAACACAGCACCACTAATTAAAATACGGTACGAGACAATGTTTCAACATACAGATGTGACACCAACAGCTGCTTCCGCCGCTCAGCTCACCTTGCTGGCTTTGTCACCTCAGTATGTTGACAGGTTTCACAGAACAACGCTCAAGCTGTAAGCCTGTCGTCACACCCAACTTTTATATGAACCCTGTGGCACTGTGTTTGTCTTCCTGTTCAGCCACCGTTCGACGGAGAGGATGAAGACGAGCTCTTCCAGTCCATCATGGAGCACAACGTGTCCTACCCCAAGTCCATGTCTAAAGAAGCTGTGTCCATCTGCAAGGGAGTAAGTACTGTTTAAAGGAATGCTTGCACACACATGTGAAAAGGATAACAGATATATGGCATTTTTGTTGTAAAAATGTTGCTGAAACCACTGGGAATCATTTGGAGGCACGTGCACGATCGTACATATTTGCAGTTGCTGGGTAACAATAATCGGCCATAACATACCCAGTTCCCAAATCTTCTTTAACTCCACATGGACACGACAAAGTTCAAGAGGCAATTGCTCAGATATAAAAAGTGTGTATCGAATACAATTTGCGATAAACTCGGGATGAATCGTTTTTAGCATCTTTGCCTCTGTAAAAACGTATTTATATATATTTATCAGCAGAGGCCCCATGCGTTTATAACTTGGAAATGTGACCAATAATGTGCGACCAACAACTATATTTGTTTACTGTTTCTAAAACTGCTTAAGAAGAACCAAAGAAATGAAATCAAACTATCTTCACCATATTGAATTGCATACATCATATTCTTTTTCATTGCATCGTGAATCGCATTGTGTTGAATCAAATCGTGTCAAATCGCAATAAGGTGAATTGTGTCGTATCATATGTATCTTTAATGTACCTGCTTGTTGCGTATCTTATCGGTCTCAGTGATGGAGATTCACAACCCTAAATGGTATTTAGGAAGAGAGTTAGGAAGGGGCTCTCCAGCGTTTTTGCAGATATGTATTACACTCCCTTAAAGTTGAAGAACCTGCGAGAGACAGATTTAAAAAATAAATGTTTTAATTGAAGCAGCTGCCGAGATATCCTGATCTTTAGTCGCTCTTATGTGTTATACCCTAAAAACAATGGCTCCTACATTTCCCATAATGATAGTGTCTCTTACCCCCTTGCCCCCTCGCCTGGTAAATGTCTTATTTTCTCATTCTTGACAAAGTCCAATCACAGATACATTATACAAGTGTTTCCACTAACTGTAGTCAGTATAGCTGAAAAAAAAAATTGATTAAATGAACTGATTAGTCCATTTACAGTATAATGTATATATTATAATGTATTAATTGTTTACAGCCTCTCAAACTTGCTGCTTTTCTCTGTTTATATTACTGTATTGTAAACTGTCAACTAAATGACTAACCAGAAAAGGCACTATTTGACTAATCAATAATGAAAGTAATCTATTTGTTGCTGCCCTATACTTACTCATGTCAAGTAAAGATATGTATAAAATGTGCCAAATGTTTTGTTTTTCCTGTCACATATGACCTTCCCCAACGTGAGTATTGACAGAATCCATTCAGGTCACTCTGCTTTAAATTTTGATGTAATTTTTTTAGCTTTTGACACAGAAGATGGTTTTAGATTTCCATTTAATCTCGTCCGTAAATCATTTCTCATTGTGCTCCAGCAAAGACACAGCTGAGTCACACATTTCCACGGCTTTCAAAAAGGCTCCTTTATTTAGCAACACCTGTTCGTCTGATACCTGGGCATCACTTTTGTGACACTGTCACAATGAAGTGGCATCATGACTGTAATGGTAATGATTATTTACCAACAAGGAAATGAGTTTTCAGAGTCAATTTACACACCAGAGAAGATTGAATTAAGATTCAGGCACAGTCCGATAAGTCTTTTAATAACACACCCCGCCTTCATTTATTATGATATTACACCCTGTAGCTGCATGCCGCCACAAAAAATATCATTCATCATCCCAGAGCTGCTGACAAAAGAGATAATCCTGATGCCTCTTATTGTTTGCTTCACATCTCATTTGCAAAAATGATTCATGGTCGAAATTAAAAGTGGCTCTTGAATCAGAAACGGGGCCATGAAAAGGCAACGTAATTTCCTGCAACTATTTTAAAACTAGATGAGTGAAAACAGCGTGAGTGTCAGTCTGGCTCTGCATAATGTCACTGACGTGTAATAAGAAGCGAAGATTTAAAAAAGTGGATCATTGATATGTATATAAGCTTGCTTCAGAGATAGTTTCTTCATCTCTTCTGTTCCTCCCTACTTCACTATTTTTATCTTTTCTTTCCCCAGAGCAGCTAACTGCCTCTGTCACATCTTTTAATCCCTCCTCTTCTGTTTGTCACCAGCTGATGACCAAGCACCCATCGAAGCGTCTTGGCTGTGGCCCAGAGGGGGAGAGGGACATCAGGGAGCAGGCCTTCTTCAGACGCATCGACTGGGATCGCCTGGCAAACAGAGAGATCCAGCCGCCATTTAAACCCAAAGTGGTGAGTGTGTGTGTGTGTGTGTGTGTGTGTGTGTGTGTGTGTGTGTGTGTGTGTGTGTGTGTGAGATATCGTGTACTGTATGTATGCATATCCAGATAGTTGTATATCTATAGCTGGGCTTCAAAAGTTAGATAACATTAAATGAGCAGTCAGACATCCTCTATCATGGTTTATGAGATATTATATTGATATAAACTGTAATATTATACATTTAAAATCAGTCGAGAGACTATTTATGGATAAAATATCCATACAGGAATTGGCTAATCCAGCAAATTAAAATGTAATATTGCCTTAAAGAATATTAATTGATTGGCAACATTTCCTAAATAAATGCTACCATTAAACACTAATGGGCCTAAACTTTAGTCCGATGCATCTTATTGTGTGTCACTTTTGCAAACTTGAATCAGTTTATTTCCATCCACAAATTTTAAAGGACAGGTTTCATGTTTTTGGTCACTGTAATCATTCCTTCTTTCTATACTACTACTATACTTTTCTATACTAAAATATTATCCAGTTTCACTGAAATCATTGAATGAAGTTATATAAGTGATTTTTTACAGTGTAGGTCACGCACAGACACACCACCTAATTCTTGTCTCATTTGTGGTCCGATAAAAAGTAAATTACTTATATTCAGAGCCCAATATTGTTATTTCCCAAGCTCAGTTACTGAAGCTGTCGTGCTGTCAAACGCACACTAGCAAGGACAAAGTGGTGCTCTCCGGCACTCTGTGCAGCCCCTCGGCAGGCATCCGCAAAACTTAGCCAATCAGAAGAAAGTGGGCTTTCGGCGACGGAGGGCTTGAAGAGACGTCTTGTTTCAGACAGAGGATGAACTGAGGGGCTGCTTGAAGGGCCAATACAAGACTGATGAGGGTGTTTTTGAAGAGTGAATCATGCAAAGCTACTCTAGTATCAGTCTAAGAATAATATAGCTGGAAATGGGCATAATAGGTCCCCTTTAAAATTACTTTACAAAAGAATGACTTCAGGGTCAAGAGGAAGGAATGATTACAGCAACCAAAAAACGATATTGTTTATTCAAAAGAGCATTGTTGTAATTAATGTTGTGATGTTTTCTAGTGCTTACAGCAATTTCTTTCATGAATTTAATATGGCCACACACACACACACACACACACACACACACACACACACACACACACACACACACACACCGTAAGGTCCTTTCATCCATTACCATTTTATTTTTTTTTGTTTTTAAGCTTTATAACAGCGACTGACTGACAATGTATTCATGCTGATGCTGTGATAACAAGAATTTAGATGACAAGGCAGGGCTCATAACATTTTAATTTATTCAATATTTTGTTTATTAACCTTTACCTCAGCTTGTCTTTACCAACATCTCTACCTCAGCCAAGAGGTAGACATGGCATTTATCTCTATATAGTAAAACATGAGGATATTTCCAGACACAGAAAGAGATGATCGATGATGACATAAAAATAATGACCATAAACCATCCAGTAGTGTGTTTTATTTCCCTCATGCACCGTTCCTGTATGCAGAGTACGGTGCTAAAAACAGCAAATCACCAGAAAATCTTTGTCATTCTTGAATGAATCACTATTGAAAAACTGAAATACTTCCTCTGAGAGTCTTTAAGTGTGCATGCATGAATGAGTAGATGTTTTATGTCTGTGTTCCCATTCATCCTCACCCAGTGTAGTGGCTTATATGCACCCAGCTGAGCTTGAGGCTGGATCCCAGCTGCAGCCACCAGCCCCGCTGCCACTGACACATGTCCCCCCTCCCGACACCTAAACCTCCTCCTGTCACTACAAAACACTCCTTTTCTGTTTGTGGACCCCTGCGTCCTCCATCCCCTCGCTGCCCACAGCACCCGAAGCAACGCAAGCGCTGCCACCAAGGATTAAAAATAGCTCTGTAAGAGCAGAGTTCCCTTTACTTCCACACAAGGGCCACAATAAATGCAGGGTTACACAGCGGATGTATCAGTCTCCGCTCACATAGGGGGGAGGAAAAAATGTCTAAAAGCGGATCCATCCATTCAGGGGGGCTTTGTGTAGTGTATCACCGTAGTGAGCTCATACTCTGCGTCATTAATTGGTCTGAAGGGACTGGCAAACAAAAGAACCATCTGAGGCTTTATGGCTTGGCTTGTGTAATATCACAGTGCAGTTCAAGAAGCCCGACGTGCTGATATGTCTCCTGGGAAAATGTGTCGCAAATAGCGGACGCTGAATCCTCTGTAAACTCCAGATTTGTTTTGCGTTGTGCATTACTCATTCTGTCTCATTTGCGTGGTGAAAGTGTTGTGACTGTGCTGCTATCGTGCATGATACACAGTGATATCCATATATATTCAGCTGCTTGAGACACATGACTGCCTCAGGCGGAGCTGCACACTGATGCTGATGACCTCCAATGTGGAAGCTTAGGGTTAGCTCCTAATCTAATTACAACTTCTGCCCGGCTACACATCAGCCTTCAACATTTCCGTGCACCACCTTCCCTCTGGGACTGTTGGGAAGCTTTATAATAAAAGACCCACGAGGAAAGAAGCCTTTTAATCATGAGTTCAGCATGGTGTTGCATCTAACCAAACCTTTTTTTGCCATCTTTTACAGCCCAGATATCAAAATAACGATTTATCTATTTTTTAAAAAAAAATCTCTTTCAGTGTGGCAAAGGAGCAGAAAACTTCGACAAGTTTTTCACACGTACGCAGCCTGTGCTGACCCCTCCCGACCAGCTGGTCATCGCCAATATCGACCAGAGTGAGTTTGCAGGCTTCTCCTACATAAACCCACAGTTCATCCATCCGTCCCTGCACAGCGTGGTATGAGGAGAGAGCAGGGGGGGAAAAACACAAAAGCATGGACTGTCGCTGAATACAGGATCCTTCCAAACTCCCACAAACGTCCCGCTGTCAAAAGACTCAAGATATCATCCTCTACAGTATTCTGTCTACTAGTTATCAATATCTGTGTACAGAAATGACTGAGGAGAGTGGCGCCAAGTGTTGTTTGTGGGCGAGAAGAAAGTACATGGCACTGATGCTTTTGCATAATTTCCCCAAACATCTCATGATATGTTCTTTATTCTGTATCTGTGTTTTTTTCTCTAGACCTGCCGCCTTTTTGTATGAATGTGAATTGGTTACTATCTCATTAGGTATTAAAGATGCAAGATGTTCTCCTTCTCATCCCACTCATGTTGCCCCGTCTTACTACGCAACAAGCTGCAATGCACGACAAGAACGGAACATATTTTTCTGCTCTGTCTCGGCTTTATCTACTTCTGAACCGCTACACGTGTATTTTATATTTATATAAAAAAAAAAAAAAAGAATTAAAAAGAGGTAGTATACTGTTACATGAGTGCCAAAGTAGAAGTGGAAAAAAACATTTCTATTCTTAAAGTCCTTGTAATGTTTTTGCCCCTCTGGCTTTCCGAACACTGTCAACACACTAAAACCCCTTAAACAGGGACCGTTTATATCTGTTGTTTTGTAGGACGTGGAACTATACTATATCTAACTCAACATAGAGAAACAGAAGCACATTATGCTTACAGTTACAACCTGTCTAGGCCTTTTTCAATGCAGTGGGTGTTGCCTCCGGTGGGTGAATGCAGGATGAGTTCAGTATATAGGGTCAGAAAACTGTGGATTCAAAAGAGACAGTGTTTTAAAGTGTAACGATGCTAGTTTCCATATGCACAAAGCAGATCTCTGTTGCATGCTTATTTTCTGACTCTGTATGAGCAGTAGACTCTAGGATGCAGTACACGTCTGGTATCATTGTAAAGTTTAGTATTATGATATAAACTATGTTAATATATAATTGTTGTATGTTTTGAAGAGTCTTATTCTGAAGAGAAGTTTCTAATTGTTAAGGGAAAAAAGGTTGTGTTCTTGTTTTATGTTCTAGCTTAACTTTATGTCCAAGAGAGATGTCTAAACCTTCTATTGTATGTCAATGATTTTTTTTTTTTTTTTTTTTGTAAATATGTTTCAAAGATATGTTTCAAAAAGAGAAGTTACTTGCAGATTTTATACTATGAACTGAATGTGCTTTTACTACCGTAGACAGTTTGAACGTTTCTGTTTAGATTACCCCTAAGAAGTGTACAAGACGTTTGGCTGAATCTTTGGTAGCTTTGGTATCAGCAAAACCTTGTTATATGTATTTCCACTATTTATCCATTGTTTTCTACTATTCAGTGTCAAGGAAGAATATGCAGCGCCTACTGTGCGTGAAACGGTTAATCCCCTCTTGCCTTGGTCGTCTCAGGGCTGACTTCTTCTGTAATTCAAAACCGAGTAACGGTGTGAGGATTTCAGAGCCCTCGGTGGCTGAAACATGTCTTTTCTTTCTTGCGTATATTGTGTGCATGCCTGAGGCGAGGCCTGATTTAAGCATGAGAAAGAGCCCTGCATGATACAGAGACCCCCCCACCACCTCCTCCTCCTCCTTAGTGTGGAGCATGGAGTTTCCACAGAATGACACCAACCCAGTCCAACGAGCATCGTGCGCTTTTTCTGCTCATCGTCTCCTCCCACTCGCTGTCATGTAGCCCAACCTGTTTGGCTAAAAAGCTGAATTATAAACAGACAAATAATGTGTTGAATGCTTCTGTTGGCTTTTTTTTTTTTTTTTTTTTGTTCACTGGTGCCAAACAGAGACATTTTTGTTTCCAGTCAGGTGTGTTTTATTTTTCTTGAGAGGCACACAAAGCTACAACAGTGACATTTCATAAAACTGCCAAATTTAGGAAGGCTACAGCTCTTAACCCCTAAATTAGTTACTTAACATGTAGACTGATGTTGCAGCTGTCACATCTGGACCAAAATGAGATTTTTAAGAGAAAACTGAATGTTTACATGTCTCACATTGAGAATTGAAAAACCACCTTTGGACCCATGACAGAGATATTAAAATGTCAGGCCAGTCAGGGTACAGTACCACTACAGGCTACAGTTAGAGCCACAGGGATGTTTGTATGTGTTTCCTTTCACTGCCCCTGCTTTTGTTTACCTGATTCTTCTTGTTCCTCTGTTCATTGTGGTATGATGAATACAGTGTATAAATAAAGTATGAAAAATATGAACCTGCTCTCTTTTATTTTGGAGGGAAGCATTGATTTTAAAGGGGCTGTTGGTGGTTTTCAAACCAAATGTAAGGGAAGGTAGTTTAACTTTCCTGCAATAACTTGGATGCACATAAATAGCTAAATCAAGGTTATGCAACTCAAGCATTGTGTCGGTTATATGTCGAACACAACTGACCCTATACACACGAATCTGGGGAAGTACTAGAAGTAAACAAGTCGCCATTACTGCGGTGATGTTTGAATGCAGCTTTCAGAGAGTTGTTAATTGAACTGTATGGTTTTTTTTTAGGTCGCAGTTATGTTATATCACTCAGCCATTAGACCCTCATCCCCCACATTTAGATATATTGTTGTCCAGTCCAACACCACTGCAAACTACAACCTGAAAAATTAACATATAGTTAAATTTAAAGGACTAGTGTGTTGGATTTAGCGGCATCTAGTGGTGATGTTGCAGATTGCAACCAACTGAATACCACCTGCGTCAGTATTTTAAGACCTAGGAAAAAACCTCAGCAAAAATGCAATTGTACATTCTGGGCTACTGTAGAAACCTGGCAGTTCAACATGGCGGCCTGCGCAGGAGGCGACCTGCTGCGTGTAGATAAAAACTGCTCCTTCTGAGGTAACAAAAACACAACAATTCTTATTTTCAGGTGATTACACACTAATGATGAAACCATACCTACGGATATTATATTCCATTTCTGCCAATAGATCCTCCTAAACTAATAAACTAAACATTTTTTAAAGGCAAAGACAGAATTTATGGATGAGCTTTTGTACTGTGCTGCATTAAAGTTTTCCCTAACAGTGGTCTTTGACTGATTTTATTGTTTTTATTAAAACAATTACTTTATAAACCATACAGGATATGTCTTGTGTACTAGTGTCAGAAAAAAATACTCACAACATTCACAGCTCAGTGTTTAGTCTGTATATGTATCAGCTACCATTATACTTATTTTATACTATTTCCCTTTCCTACTTAAAATACATCATTTTAACAGGCAGCCCTATCACTTCCTGTCAGAGCTGAGTGGAGCTGTCCTTGGTCCTGACCCCCCCCACTCTCTCTCCCTCCCTATCTTTATCTCTCTCTCAATTCAATTCAAATGGCTTTGGCATGACATAATACTGTAACTATGATTGACTCAATCACAATCACAGTCAATAAGTAATTAATTACAATGAATCAATCAATCAATCAGTTTGTGTTAACTAAAAATGTCATTAAAACAGTAGTAAAGTAACAGGCTACAGTTAAAACAAGTAGTATGTTGTCAATATAACTAATAACAAATTATTACATTTAATATATAATATATATAATATTTAAATATATTAAAATAAAATAGATAGATAAAACTGTAAACGTGTGTATTAAACAAAAAACAACTAAAACACCCCCTATCTCACTCTCTCTCCCTCTCTCTCTCTGTCTGTCTCTCTCTCCCTCTCCCTCTCTCTCTCTCTCACTCACTCTCACTCTTTCTCTCCCCCTCTCTCTCTCACACTCTCTCTCTCTCTCTCTCTCCCTCTCTCCCTCTTTCTCTCTCTCCCTCTCTCTCCCCCCCTCTCTCCCTCTTTCTCTCTCTCCCTCTCTCTCCCCCCCTCTCTCCCTCTTTCTCTATCTCCCTCTCTCACTCTCTCTCTCGCCCTCTCTCTCTCTCTCTCTCTCTCTCTCTCTCTCTCTCTCTCTCTCTCTCTCTCTCTCTCCCCTCTCTCCCTCTTTCTCTCTCTCCCTCTCTCTCCCCCCCTCTCTCCCTCTTTCTCTCTCTCCCTCTCTCCCCCCCTCTCCCCCTCTATCTCCCCTCTCCCCCTCTCTCTCTCTCTCTCTCTCTCCTCTCTCTCTCCCTCTCTCTCTCTCTCTCTCTCTCTCTCTCCCTCTCTCTCTCTCTCTCCCTCTCTCTCTCTCTCTCTCTCTCTCTCTCTCTCTCTCTCCCTCTCTCTCTCTCCCTCTCTCTCTCTCTCTCCTCTCTCTCGCTCTCCTCTCTCTCTCTCTCCCTCTCTCTCTCTCTCTCCCTCTCTCTCTCTCTCTCTCTCTCTCTCTCTCTCCCTGTGTATTTGCATTGAGCAGCTGAAGCAGCTCGTGCAGCAGGACCTTCCGTCTGACTCTAGTTGCTCTCTTGCGGCTGACGCACTGCTGCTGCTGCTGCATCGTCTCACGGCTTCACTTTACAGTTTCCTGAAGGAATTTCTCACCGGTTCGACGGAGAGCCGCGAAATTATCCTCCAAATCTGAAGGTTTTAAATCCGCAACTTTCAACAATCTTTGCTCCAAGTGCAGGAAAGCGCAAAGACCGGACAGATAACAGCAAACAGTATGTAACTAAACGAGTTATCATTCTTAATTATTAATTGGTCTCATATTCCTCTTATATGTGTTCTGACGTTGTGTGTGAGTTTATTGGGGGTTTTTATTTGCTGGCAGTAGTGTAATAGTAATATTGCTTTAAATTGTAGTATTTTATTGGAATATTAGGCTTACTTTAGGACACTGGAAACTGCCACAAGACACTATATGCACAATAACTTACTAGGAGGTCACGTACAAATGTATGATTCATGTTTGAAATTATGTTTCAGCACCAAGGACAGTTAGATTATTGATAAACCTTCTTGTTTAATAAATGAAGTGTATTTCTGTTATTTTGCATTGTATCTATTTACTTAAAAGTTGGTCAGGGAGAAGCCTCAGCATATTGGCATGCAGATGGCAAAGAGATCTGATCTGAGGCTATCCAGTCATGACCGTGTGTATCTTCGTGTAGTAGCTCAGTTTGTCTTTGCACCTGCAAATCACAGTGTGTTTGTACATTAACATGATTAATCACCTGATGACTTCCAGTTCCAAGTTGAAGATTTCCAGCATTATTATAATGAGATCATCAAATTATTTTCATTCTCCCATCTTGCCATTTCTCAATAAAATAATAAATAATACAATAATAAAGCAGCTTTTATGTGAAATTCTTGAGGGTGTTTCTTAATTTTTACATAATACTGCTGATGAGCATCCTCCATTAGTGGCCTTTATGTTTGAGACTGTGACCATGTAATTGTAAAGTCCTTGAGTCCAGTAAAACCAGCTTTCTACTGTCACTGTCTGATAAAAAAAAAAAGGTAAGAATATAAATTATATAGGGACTGATAACAAAGAGGGAACTGAATATAACAACGAAGTGTGCCTTGTAAAGTAAGAGAGGCGACCTTGCTGGTGGACAAACAGATTTTTGGAGCAGCTTTTAAATTCTGGTTGTTCAAAAGCCAGTGTGAGTTGAGTAACCTTAAGCGCTTAGGGCAAAACATTTATTTATCAGTTTAAGATACAAACAAATTTGATGAAATCAGGCAGCAGAACTAAAGTCAGAATTAATTATGGTAATTAGCTTCTCCCTGACGTCCTCTAGTGTGTCCTCTGGCTGACTGTCTATAGATCATTCACATGTGTCCTGAATGGGGCTTAAATCATTACCCTGTGACTGTAGATAATATCTTATGTGATTAGCCTCTCAAATTCACTTTCTGACGTATGAATGCTGTATATGAATGTCACACTTTTTTAGGGATCCTGCTCTGAATCATTGCTGTAAAATGTCAAAAACCATGTATTTCAAATAATGTGAGCATTTATATTCACAGTAGCAGACTGCAATGTGTTTAATGTCCCTCAGTGTGGAGGCTCAAAAAGGTTTATTATTGACTTCATTATTCTCTTTTCATGGCAGGTTGGAGGGAGTAAGCAGTGACAAGGGCTGAATTAGAATTTATTTTGACTCTAAAACTTTAATGTTGCATGAGGAGGAAGTGCAGAGGTCACAAATTAAAAATACAACAATTTTAAGTGGAAAGTTGCCCATTCTGTCTGCCTATGAGTCAAAAACCTAAACATGAAAATCATTTTGGGATGGAGTCTAGAAGGACTGATCAGGATTAGATTTACCTGCACAACAACCAAACAAATATCCTGATTCCTGCAGTCCCCCCGGCTGCCCTGACATTTCATGAGCTGCCCATCATGACGAGTAGATTTTACTTCCTAAATCTCTCCAGCTTTGTCAGAGACTCTAAAATACCATGTGGATAGGAGAAATAGATGTAGCTGATAGACAATGTCCTCCCTCCTCATCCTCTCTGTCTATCATCCTGTTGCCCACCATCTTTTTTCCCCTCCTTTCTCTTTTTCTCAGTCACGCTCACAAAGCACCTGGTGTCACACACACACACACACACACACACACACACACACACACACACACACACACACACACCTGCAAGGCCCCGAGAGTCCCTCAATCCAAACCCAGTGAGGTAATTGTGTAAAACACTCTGACGTTGTTGGGGTTTTGTGCACAACCCTGAGAGTTTCTCATGGTAATCTGAAGAGCGGATTAATCATTAAAGGTCTAAAAAGGCCTCACAGAGGTTGGAAATTGTGACCGATTATTAGTACCATCCAGTGCAGAGGTGTTTCTATCTACGTTGTATAAGTTAGAACTCTTGTTGCAAGTTACTTGCTGTGAATATGGGTGTGTAGCAGAAATGAAGCAGGGAGATGACATCTTTGCTTCCAGAAAGTAATGCTGAGAATGACTTCTTCTACTTTGCAGCAAAAATGTCAGGACAGACAGGCTAGAGCTAAAATAGTGGAGTTTCATCCTTATAAGCCAGCAGACAACAGTTGCACAGTGAGGTAGACACAAACAGTAGATACCTACAGAAATAAAAAAGCCATGAAATAAATAATCACTTGAGAAAATACAAAATATATAAAATCACTGTAATCTAATGAATAGTTCAACATTTTAGATGAAAGAGGGTTAGAGTAAAAGATGGACACCACTCTCGTGTTTATATGTTAAATTTAAAGTTGCAGCCAGCAGACAGTTAGCATAGCTTAGCATAAAGACTGGATTACTTTTTCGTATGAAACAAACAAGATACAACATGTTAATTTGTGAGCTTTAGAGGTGCTGATTTTACCCATTTCCAGTCTTTATGCTAAGTTAAGCACCCTATTTCCTGTACAAACATCTAACTTATGCCAAGAAAACAGATGTGGGTATATGTTTAACTATTCCTTTTAAACTTATCTTTATGAAATGTTATTGCATGTTGATTTTATTTCTCAACATAATTGGTTTTATCCTTTTTTTTTTTGCATTATGAAATTAAAATAGTGAAACAGTCTGGGAAAAATTGCATTTTGAAACAAAAGCTATTCAAAATAATTATGTCAGGCAAAAATAATAAATAATATATTATCTATCATTTTTACCTGTGTTTATCCATATGGTTACTTATTTCATAATGTATTTATTTATTTGATTAAGAACACTATTTCTTCTTTCCCCCTTCCTCCTCCAGATTGCCTCCTGGACTTTTCTAATCTTTAACTGACCGCTGGAAGCTCCTCCCACTGTCACCATGAGCGCATGCGGCAGGAAGGCCCTGACATTGCTGAGCAGTGTCTTTGCAATCAGCGGCCTGGGGCTACTGGGAGTGGCAGTCAGCACCGACTACTGGTTGTACCTAGAGGAGGGCGTTATTATCCCTCTGAACCAGAGCACTGACATCAAGACCTCGCTGCACTCCGGCCTCTGGAGAGTCTGCTTCCTGGCCGGTCAGTAACCAGTCTGAGGGTGTTTTTTCATTTGATTTATTTGACATTTCAAAATATATATACCATGTAAAACACGGTGACACATACATGTTAATCAGGATAACACAAAAAGTTGTGTGTGGATCAGTCTCTCGATGCTCCTGCGGTGTGAGGGTGTAAATCAGGACTGTGGTACAGATACATGTCATGGCGTTAGATTTTAGAGTGGAATGATCCTACTTTTCATTTGTACTGTGCAGCATCTAAATGTAGCAGCTGCAGGGAGCTCACCCTGTCACACTGACATATCGTCACTGCATCAGCTTTGACACACAATGACATTCACAATTACTTCATCAGTGTGTGTGTGTGTGTGTGTGTGTGTGTGTGTGTGTGTGTGTGTGTGTGTGTGTGAGGTTGTGAGTATGTGTGGAATAAAAGAGGCAGAGTGTGAGAAAGAGCAACAAAGAGATAGAAAATGTGTTTGTGTGTCTTCCCTGTTCCCTGTTTCTATCACAGACTATAAAAGGAGGTGCATTCACTGTCCAGTCAGTCCTGCACCATGAGTATACGCTCACAAACACACACACACACACACACACACACACACACACACACACACACACACACACACACACACAGACACACAAACTTGCACCTCCACCCCTGAGACAGATGTCATTGCATCGTGCCTCAGAATTAGCTGGTGGATAATTCCAGCTGGTGTCTCTATGTATGTGTGTGTGTGTGTGTGTGTGTGTGTGTGTGTGTGTGTGTGTGAGAGAGAGAGAGCGAGAGATGTTGAAGTGATAATAATGAGCATGTGACTCACACTTATGATATAAAAAAAGTTGATGACAAATTTCAGGAAATCAGGACGTCAGGGTTTAAAGGAAGGAAATCTTTTGTGAATATGTTTAAATACAGGAAATCCATTTTACATCCAGGATTTATTAAAATGTAGAAAAAAAAACATACCTTATTTGGTCAAATCTATTATGTACATTAGAAATAATATTGCCTACATGATGGATGTTGTCATTTAGCCCAGATTTGTTTAGGGGGAAATGTGATTTTTACAGGGTTTATGTTGCCAGGAAACCAGCGGACACTCCAGGGAGTTAATGGTCCCGTCCAGTTTTTTGTGCAAATTAAACAAATTAGACAACATGTTAATTAATGAGCCTTAGAGGCAGATTTTGTTACCCTAAGACAGAGGCAGGCTAGCAGTTTCCCCCTGTTTTCAGACTTTAAGCAAGGCTAACCGGTTGCTCTCTCCAGCTAAATATTTATTGTTCAGACGTAAGAATGACATCAATCTTCTCCTCTAACTCTTTCCCAAAATGTCAAACTATTTCTTCAATGTTCAGTAAATAAAAGTTTAATTAGATGTTATGGCTCACTGGATTCTAGCCTTTATATCTGTTTCATGCTCACAAACAGTCAATATTGTAACGTTTTTGCCTACTGTACGTCTGCCAGCCTCTTATATCTTCTTCCCAATATGTCCCTCTTTGTCCTGCAGTTGTTTTCAGTGTTTCCACCTTTTACCCTCACCTGACCTCCACACCAACCTGTACACCTGCTCCCAGTTCCCTCATCAGCTCCACTGTATACATACCTGCCCTTTAGCCATTGTTACCTGCAACATCATCTATTGTGCCATCCCAGCTATAGACTTTCAGCTTTTCTTTGGTCTTTTTCTTCCTGTCTGCCCTGTAATGACCCCATGCCTGCCTTCTCTGACTTCTTGTCTCCCTGTTTTTGGCCTTTTGATACAGTAAACTTTACTTTTGCCTCATCTGTTTTGTCTATGAGTTGTGTATTTGAAAAGGGATGCTGGATAACTGTCTCTAAACTCAGTCTCAGCATTTTTATTCCTTCTCTGCTTTCTTCAGGCGAAGAGTCCGGCCGCTGCTTTACCATCGCGTACATCATGCCCATGAATGTCCAGTTGACGTCAGAGTCCACAGTAAACGTGCTCAGTGAGTAACACCTCCAACCTCCTGCAGCAGCAGGTTCAGGTTTAATAACTCAAGGTTCCACCTTGAGGTTGTTCACATAAACAGCCGGGGGTATTTTTATGGCAAAAACTTGTTTTGCGATAAGGTTGTGCTCAGAAATCATCTGTATGTAGGCAGACAGATGAGTCTGAGTCATCTGAACCCTCATGTTGATGCCCCGCTCCTCTCCAGAATACTTATTACCTTTTCACAGACAATTCGCCTCACAAGTCCTTCAGTGTTTCTCAGTGTGGAAGCTTCACCGGAGGATAAATCCACTCTAGTGAGTCTGTGTAATAAGCTTTGATATTGTATATTGTATATTGTACTCCATTCACAGCCAAATCAGGCAAAGGAGCACATGACGATCAAGTGTCTATATTTCGTCTTTATTTCATGATTTACTGTCCCCAATTCCTCCACAACCGTTAAATATGTTGTTTAGCCTGGACAGCTGCTGTATGACTGAGATAGATCAACAAAACATTCCTCAGTTTCACTTTTAGATTAAAAGTTCATCTGTCTGTAAGTTTCTTTCTGCAAACATAAATAACTACTTTGTTGTCATGATGAGTGGCCACTTTGTTGTACGTCTTGGGATTAAACAGCAGCTTTCCCCCTCTCCTCAGAGATGATCCGATCAGCCACTCCGTTCCCTCTGGTCAGCCTCTTCTTCATGTTCATCGGCTTTGTCCTCAATAACATCGGGCATGTTCGGCCTCACCGCACCATCCTGGCATTTGTCTCTGGCATCTTCTTCATCCTCTCGGGTACACTCTTATGTATGTTTCTGTCTTCTCTATTTGTCTTTGTCCGACTCTGGATGTGATATTTATGTCTCTGTCTCTCAGGTCTGGCTCTGGTGGTGGGTCTGGTGCTGTACATCTCCAGTATAAATGATGAAATGCTGAACCGGACTAGGAGCAGTGAGGCCTATTTTACCTATAAGTACGGCTGGTCCTTTGCCTTCGCTGCCATCTCCTTCCTGCTCACTGAGGTGAGCAACTGACTAGCAACTAACTGACTTATAACAGTATTTATAACAAAAATGAAAAATCTCAAGTGTAAATTCTGTTATTGTGCTCAACTGTATCATGTTACAGTTACAGAGAAATAAAAAAAAAAAAACATTTAAAAACAAAGAAGAAACATCAAGTCCTGCCTTTCAGCTGCGCAAATAATCCAGAAGCTACTGCCGGAATTTGCTGAATGAAAGCCAAGTTTTTCTTTAAAAACATTCTTGATACTAAAAATCTTGGTTTCCATTTTCTTTTCATTACATTGTTCTTTTGCCTTATAGAATATGTAAAAGTCATCTTATGGATATTTCTTCTCTCTTGTCTTTATTTGCCTATTTGAATTAAGTTACATAACTTTGATATAGTGATACTTGGATTAGGTTACTGACTACATTACAGGTAACAGGTAATTAATAATTGTATCAGTTTAAATGTATAGTGTAACATTTTCAAAGTAACCCTCCCAACCCTGATTAGATTGTTGTACCTAATAAAGTTCTGTATCTGCCTTCATGTAGTAGACTCAGAATCGTTAGTGTTCAACGCTCTCCAGTGGTCACAGAGGGGAACTGCAACACTTATGTTACAATGGCTTATACACACTGTTAATATCAGTATAATTGTTATAAATATCAACATTTACAACTAATAATTAATATAATTAGTACAAATAATAACTGTAACATCAGTATTGGTGATTAATACTAAAAGTAGCTGTTTTAATAACAATTTGCTGGTGTGGAGACCAGTCTACCAGCTTCATACCACCCTTAAGGTATTTAATTTATTTATGTTTAAACTGCTAGAGAGGTGGCTGTATGAATTGCATTGTTTTTTTTACATGAAAACACTCATTATCCTTTCATATATTTTGTTCTGTTGACTTTAATTCAGTGTAATGTGTCGCCCTACTGCAGAGTGCAGGCGTCATGTCAGTCTACCTGTTCATGAAGCGCTACACAGCAGAGGAGATCTACCAACCTCGTCATCCCAGTTTCTACCGCCCTCGCCTCAGCAACTGCTCCGACCACTCAGGCCAGTTCCTCCACCCAGAGGCCTGGTCACGGGGGCGAAGTCCCTCTGATATCTCAAGTGAAGCTTCACTCCAGATGAGCACCAGCTACCCTGCTCTCCTCAAATGCCCCGACTATGATCAGGTTTCTTCTTCACCCTGCTGAGGGGTCGGCCGCCACATCAGAGGACACCTACAGGTGACTAAAGGGTCATTGGAGGATCACATAGGGGCACAAGGCCTACTGAGTTTTCTTTCAAAAAAAGAGATACAACTTAGATATTTTAACTGTGAGTTTGATGTTTTTCTGGGAGAAAAATATGTGCAGCTTTGACTGTGGTTTAAGGACTTTGGAAATATGTCCTTCTGAGCCGCTTGTGGCTTTCTGTAGGATCAGAGATGCTTTTTGGGGAAATTGTTGTTGTAGCAGAACCTACGTTTTGAATAGGTGCCGGCAAAGATTGAAGATTTTAGAAAAAAAAACAGTTCATGGTTATGGTGTTATTCTCTCTGCAAAGGTCTCAAAGTTCTGGTTTCTGGTACACGACCTTTGAACTTTATCTGGAAAAAAGTTCTGGTTTAATTGTATCTGTGCATTTTACCCTCCAGTGCCTCATAGCTGTTTCTCTGTGCAGATATCTTGGCTTCCTCATTTTGCAAAAAATAAATGTTTCTTATGCTTTCTGACCTTTTTGTTCTAACTGTGGCAGTGAACCAGAAATCAAACATTAGACAGATCTAACCCGTCCCCCCCAGAGCAGAACCCCACAGAGCAAAGACTGCCATCTGTGATGCAATGAAAGGAGGATGCATCCCCACTATTAACAACCATCAAACAGCACTGGAAGAAAGGAAACAGGCTCAAGAAATCCTGTCAAGCCTGCTGACGTGTTGTTGGGTTTGCTTGCTTTTTTGTCTCTGACATCTTGACTGTAAGAAGACTATTTCCCCCGTGATGGCCGTAACAGTAAGACATGATGAAAATGTTAATTTTCCTGTGTCAACAAAAGAGGACTTTTCTGGTCTTGGGAGAGACAAGAGAGACATGGACACACTGGCTTTATATAGATTTTTCTATAATGTGTACAGACTGAATGTATATTAATTCATGGTAAGAGTTGATGTAAAGATGATGTTATTCTAAGTGTCGGTCTTAATGATCTGTAAAATAAAGGTGTCATCAAACCAAACAGCCTGTAGTTTGTTTTATTTCCCATAGAGTAATTCTACATTCATCCACTGGGAGGCAGTGTTAGATGTTTTTTGTTTTTTTTGTTTTACAGCGTTTCTATTTGCTTTGGTGCAATAAAAATCGTGCTTTTCAAAACACAAATCCACATCATGAACTGTCACACAGAATTCAAATTGTCTAAGTTCATCTCCAGTGATGGCTTGAGTCTTGGTGGTCAAAATAAATTATACTTTTTTTTTAAATATGTGTAATAATATCAGACGTGGGAAGTGCATTGGCACAAATCTCAAAAACTGAAAACAGGACTGTTTATCTGAGTTCATGAAAAATTTACTTTTTACACTCTGACACACGTTGAATCAGTATATATTATTAGTTACACACACAAGTTCAATCCACTGCAACTGCTCTTCCACAACATATGTCTTTATGAAGCTTTACAGTGTTTGGTGACAGTGTTGGAAATGTGTAAATTCATTTATATGTTCATTACTGAGGTCATAATTAAAGGTGTTGTTGTACTGGACTTGAGAGGTGTTTCTATATGTTTTGTCCTACTTGTCCTCCTGCAGAATATTAGAAACACCTCTGAATATAATGCAGTCCAGGAAAACACCATCAGTGCTAAAACATAATTAAATTAACACCTCTTCGACAGCGTCACACAACAGGAATGTTACAAGGATCATAAAAACTTTTTGTTTGCATTATGTTCAATAAAGTAAGCGCTGAGTGTATTTTGAGTGAATGACTGTCTTGTGCTAGTTACATGGTGATTGTACTGAAGAACTGAAATGTTTTTCTGAAAATGTCCTGAAGTAATTGAGAAAAACTGTAATTCTACCAGGCTGCCTTTACTAGGTTTGACCACACACTCTAGCCCTTACAATAATCCTTCAAAGTCATTAAAGTCCCCCTAAAGTCCCCCAAAAATATGTTTTTATTCTTGTTCCTACAGTTGGATGTTTGAGCTTCACTGTGCAGAATGATGTCTGTGCAGAGTTTGACACTAGAAGGATGTTTTCACGTTCATCTGCTAAAAGTGGAAAGTTTCTCTGTGCTCAATGAACATCAGATTTTATGAGGCGGGACCTATGAGCATGATTTGTGGCATCACAAGTAGTTTAGGACCTCACCCTGGTCCAGTATGCAACTACCATATAGACATTTGAAGCCTCTAGTGCACATACACTGAGAGAAGGAGACATCTTGTGTCCAGCAGGAAAACTATAGCAATGAAATAAACATATTCATAGATTGTTGACTGTTTAATGAGGTAGAAGGAGTTTATGTCTTTTAAGAATGTTAATGAGGAAATTGTACTTTTTTTGTGTGGAAAAAATACACATTACTGTTCCAAGCAGACTATGCAGACTATTTCTATGTATGTGTGAATACATGTGTGGAGGGGATCTTTAAATTAATGTTGCTTGCAATCATCGTCTTCTTATATTATTATTACTTTAGTAGAATACCATTAGAGGGCGCTCTCTCCCCACTCATCCTGTGCTACATTTTCTCTCCCACTCAGATGTCTCTCAGGGTCTCAACATGTTTTCCTTTTACCTATCCTGTTCTTCTTCCTGTTAATTTATCTGACCAGATTGAATTAAACACCATTGCTCTGCATGATACAGGACGACATGATTTACATTCAGAGAGCTTGTCACGGCACTTCATGAGAGATATCTGTATAATTAATTAATGATAGCTCATTACCTATGCAAATATGTAGGTCAAGACGAGCATCAATAATAAATACAACATACATCTGCTGTAAGCTTTATGTATACTTTATATAGATACACATAATGTACAACGTGACCAATAGCTTTTACAGAGAATATAAAAGTTAATGTAACTATAAGCCCACACAGGGCGGTAGAAGATAATATTCTGCCCTGACCACAAGGCTTTAATTTTATTTTACAATCACATAGAAAACTACTGGTGTTTACAGTTTTTGACATCATCATCAATGATAGTATCATCATCATCATCACTGATATTACTTCACTATAATCATTGTCATTAACATCAAACATCATTTTCACTATAATCTTTATCATCGTAAAATACAACCATCTCTCGCACTCATTAATCATGGCTTTTTAACAGCATCATCATAGTTATTGACCAATATCATCATCATCACCACCATCATCATCATCACCATGTGTTTTCTTATGATTATGTTTAAGGCTTTTGTAAAGAAGACCCCAAACTTCAGCTGATGCAAACGTCTGCCTGTAGGCTCAAACAAGTTACACAGAGTGTGCATACTACAACAAAGAGACCAGAAACCTATACATTATATATACATACATAACTTAAGCATACATTGTTTAACATTTACAGGTAGTATTAAACCATTTCACAAATGAAAATAAATACAAAATGATAGTCGGTTATATTTATATAATTTTAAAGAGGAACACAAAAAGCAAGCAAGGATCTTTAGGATTACAAACCAAATGCAAACAGGATCACAACAATACAACGACCTTCACTGACATAGGTCATAGACAAGAAAACAAAAGCTTAATCAGACTGGTACCCTATATTGGGCCATTGCACAGCCATAAATAAAACCTACCAAGACTGAAAAGACTTTCTCAAGGGAAAGAGCTTTTTTAAAGTGGAAATCCTTAAGATTTGAATATAATTAAATCCTGTTTTGATACTATTTATGGTCAGCGTTTTATCTGCAATTGCTAATTAATGTATTTAAACTCTGTAAATACCTCTTTTAATATTAGTTTTGATTGGTAATGGCGGAGTCCGCCATTCTCCTGCTGGCTAGGAAGGAAACAATGCATGCATGTAATCCCGCTTCACTGTACTTAATTATATCTCATGGACATCAGCCTCATTGTTTATTGTTCAGTCTCAGTTGTATCAGAGGAGTATTAAGTTACTGCTAATGCAATCATTTCACATTAAAAGTGTTCAACAGGCAAAACATGGGGTGGCTTTTACTGTGAAGAAATCAATTGAAATGCATTTTATTTGTCACTAAAGTTAGTGCTAACTGACATCATTCATCAATAATATATGTGTACAAAACCAGAGGGAAATTTTTGGCTTTTTTTTGTCCTACTCGTCAGCAAGGTAACCAACTACACTGTGCACTGCTGTAACTACTTGTGCCATGCAGCTTGAAATCCGATAACGTTTGCAATAATTTTTTGACTCACTTCTTTATTAAAACAATGTGAGTTTGTTTGCCTACGCTGTAAACAGATACGCCAGCTGCTCTCCTGTTGCATTTCTGATAAAGTGGCTGCTCAAGGAGGGTTTGCTGTAGCATTAAACCACACCCGCTGTTACCACCATTAAACACAGGTGTCACCAAATCAACCAGGACTGAAATCTTAAGGATTACAACTCTAAATCCAAATAGCAAGTTTAATCTCAAGCTTCTGCAAAAGCTCATTTTCTACTCAACTAAAATAAAAAAGTATGCACATTTCAAAATTCTCTGCTCCGCACTAATAGATGAAATCAGCCCAGCTGACTCAAGACTGTAATGCTTTGTTAGGAACCTAAATGTAAGCCAGCGCTGTTTTCTGAGGCTACTCTGAGCAGGGCTTCAGCCATGGCACCTGTAGAGAAGAATCCAGCACCAGAGTGAGATGACGACATGGTCCAGGTGAGGTTACACTGCGCTGGTCTGCCCACCACCTCGCATAATGTGTCCATCTGTCTCCTCTTCCCACCCTCCTTCCTCCAAACGCCTCTTATTCACCCACACATTGTGTGCCCTGTATAGATGACCATGCATCTGAACACTGATTTTGAATTACAACTTTTTCATAAAGCACAGTGGAGGGAACGCTTGTATGACTTATGCACCCATACTGTAGATGCTGTGTGCATTGATAGCATGCACACTGCTGCATACACACACACACACACACACACACACACACACACACACACACACACACACACACACACACAAACATATTGGTCTATAATAACCCACATGCATGCATGTGCACCTGAAACATGGCAGTTGTGCTTTAGGGAGACCTAGAAACATGGTATGACCATGAGAGGGGGAGGTAGGGGGTGTGTATGAGATGGAGGAGAAACAAACTGGCTGGTTGGTTGCTCATGTGCTGCTCCATGCAAGTCCATATATCTGAGTTTCCTGCAGCTCTGCTGTCTCCTCAGTAGTGTGTGATGTCTCCCCAGCAAGTGCACATGACTTGTAAACAGTCCAGGGAAGAAACTGAGGTTTGTCTTCAGGGACGAAGTCATTTATGTAGTGAAGCAGCTTTGCAGTGGGTGGTTTATGTGTTCACGAATTGAAGGGGAGAAAGATGGAGGCGGTGGAGGTCGAGAAGATTGTCCCTCTTCACTTCTTGTTGGCGATGCGTCTCTTCCTGGTGGCCAGCATGTCGTAGAAGGGATCTCTGCTAATGCTGGCCCTGGAGAAGAAGCCAATCAAAGGACAGCAATGAAATAAATAATAAGGCCACATGAGAGGAGGGTCTCGAGCATCTTTGATATGGAAATGTAGGCACATTTATACAAACCCCTGCCTTAACTAGATCAAAAAAAAGAACAAAGTTTGTGCAGTGACCTAGTTTGGTTTCCATGGTTTCTGAAGAGGACCCCCCCCCCTTTCCTAAGTTGGTACACTGGTTTTCTGGAACCTCCTCCAGAACTCTGCCAAGCTCGTAGTAAAACACACAATCACACACTCTCCCTCCCGCAGTTCTGCAGGTTTATAGGTCTGAAGGAGGGCAAACAATGGTGCTCAAGATTATAGACTCCTCGCGTTCTCCCGCTCCCCTTTTTTAGAGCGATGGCAAAGCAGTGTACAATGAGAGCGAGTGAGTCAGGAAGCCATTTGGGCTCTACTGAGGAGCCCGGTTTCACGGCTGCTAAATCCTGTTAGCACCAGCACAAAGCAAGAAGAGGCTCAACCCCCCACTGCGGATATCTCTGATTCCCTTTACAACGCCACGCGCTGAAGAATAAGTGTGTCTATGATGACTATCCCACTCTTTCATACTGCTCATTGTCATCTTGCACAACCCAATTTCATGAAACAAAAACTCCATTGTACAGTGATCAAATCCGAACAAGGCTGCCATGGCTAATATGACATTTCTTCCATTTCTGTCCTTAAAAATATGTAAAAACCTGATATATTTAATGGAATGGGAAATTTAACATACAAATACACACACTTTCACCAATAAGAAACAACAGCCTACATTCTTCATTGACCCAGTTGGGGCACCATCATCTGGGTCTGTGTGTTTGTGACTCAAGATAGAGCGTTTCCTCTGTGATCATCTCTACTTCAGAAGAGGAAGAAAATCATCATTTCCATAAAACGCCTTTTTATCTCCCCAGACCCCGAGTCCTCTTGGACCCCTCTGGTTAAGCGCAAGCTGTGGCTCGTTAGCCCCTGTAGCTGCAGATGCGTCAGCCCAGTTTGGAGCTGGCTCTCCTGGATAGGTTTGCTGGGTTTGCTGGCTCACCCCTGGGGTGCTATAAGCAGTGACTAATCCTCCATCATTTCCCCAGTGAATACACTTTGAGAGTATGGAGAGAGGGGCAGGAGGAGGAGGAGGAGGAGGAGGAGGAGGAGGAGGAGGAGGGGGATTGCACTGTATTACAGTACACAAGTGTTCTGTTCTGCTGAGCCAACTCTCTTTGACATTGCACCATCTCCTATGCAGGCGATTACAGAGCAACATTTAGGTCATTGACAGAAAGGTTATCATTACTGAGAGCTATGTATGGTATCTGACAGAAAGAAACCACACTTTTGCTGTCTGTTTTTCTATTTATATTAACACTGTAATGATATACTCGGTAAGAGTGTTTTTAAAATCTGCATCGGTATAGTCTCTTCCACATTGTTCTTATAGTCTGTTCTTATAGATTTTGGTACCAGTCAAGGTGTTAAAATCTACATTTTCTACATCAATTATGTAGAAAATTTAGGTTTATGTCTGTATTATATATTTAGTATAACAGCTCATGAAGTCAACCACCCACTAACACTTTAAGGACCTTTATGAAAGGAGTAGTTGGACCATCGTTTTCATTCACTTTTTTGCTGAGAGTTGGATGAGAGGATTGATAACGCTCTCATGTCTGACCATTAAAGGACCAGTGTGTATGATTTACTGGTTTAAGTTTCAGACTGCACCTAACTGAACGTACGCAGTCATCCGGTCATGTAAAGTTATAACATTGTGTCAGAAGTCGGTCCAGTTCGTCACTTTGCCAGAGTTGATAGACACTGAAGTCTGACTAATGTTAGAAAATAAATGTTGTCGCCAAGTGCAGTAACTTGTCATGACATAGTGAGGTTGCAAGGCAACATGTGGAAACTTCAGGTGAAAAAAACCCCTCTCAGCTAAAATTGAAAAAAAAACTAATGCTTAGATTGTCTCTGTGAGGAGTCTTACTTGATGGATTTAATCCACTCCTCTTTCTCTTCCGGCGTGGGCGCTGATATCCTGTACACCACGTGGTTGCCCTCAACAACACGCCCATCTGCCTCCGTCTTGCAGGCTTTGATCACCTGACCCTTGTGATTGGGGTTGTAGAGCTCAAAACAGTTCTGGTGAACGGACAAAGAGCAGAACATCAATAATGTGCTACTGTAAGATAATTTGATTTTAACATCCAAAAAAACACTGCAGCAGAGGAGAAACTATAGTTGATGTATGATCTAAAGGGTGAGGTCTCTAATGATGAGGCAACACTTACAGGTTTCCTGGGCTCCTCCACCTCCCTGATGCTGAGATTCTCCAGTGGGATGATCCCACGAGGCTCCTTGTCCTAAAGGAGAAAGGGATGAGAAGGGGAAACATGAGATGAGGGAGAAAAACAACCAAGCGAAGCAAACAAGAACCAATATAGATCAGAAAAGTAGCAAAGGGAGGAAAAATGGCAAGAAAAAGAAAGACTAAGAAAGCGGTGCATTTAAGAATCATATAAGACTAGGATGAGAAGGGGATGCACGGAAAGAGAAAGGAAAGAGGAGATTAAAGGAGTTGTACGTGAAGAAGTGAAGAGTGGATAAAATGCTCTGTGATGTGTTTTGCTAGCATGGACATAAACCTTGCCCCCCCCCCGTCCTTGCTGCTCTTTAACAGAGCAGATAATGTGTGGAGCAGTCAGACCAGAGGACGGGACATAATGATAGTGTCCTGAAGGATAATACCAGGGTAGACAGAGGACAGTGCTGATGTAGCAGCTTGCAGGGACACAGAGGCACTGATGAAAATCTTCAATGATGCACATACAAACAAAGTGACACGGATACACAAACACAATCACATGTGGACAGAAACATATACAGACGAATGAACACTCTTTACTGCTAAACGAAATCAAGCCTTTTTCATGGTAACACATGTGCCAATGTGCTGGGGAATAATTGATGACAACCAATGACCATTAAAGCATTTTCTAAACAGCAGCCACAGTAGCCACAAGTGGAAATTAAACATTACATTTCCCAAGATTCAGCTTTAAAGATCATTATGTGACCTGAATATGAAATATTTATCTGCAGCATTCAGCTGTAGCACAAGTCATAAAATCAAACACTAACATTAGCACAGCGTAGCTAGAGAAATTTTAAAGTTTGAATGAGTGTACTGAATTGAGCGTTTTATTACTTATTAATTCATCTTTAATTTGTAAGATAATATGTGACTTATTTCTTCATTAAAGAATGTCACAGTCTGCTTTAAAATTAAGTTTAAATAATGTTTATTCAAGCAGTGTTTAGCAGTGTATTGTCTCTGGAAAGTGCAAATAAAAAAGTACATAAAACAACAGGATGTTGTCTACTCCTACTCCTAATTTTGTTATTTCACCCTCACACTCCGAAATGTGTTATGTGTTATAATCCCAGATCCACTCCACCCGCACTGGATTTGGAGACTAGACTTATAAAACCAGACCAGATTTATTAAATATCTGTTGAAAGAAATTGAATATAATATTTATATGTATGTTTTTTATTAGTGTATAATCACCAGAAAATAAGAATTGTTGTGAATGAGCGTTAAGTGAGTGAGTGAGAGTTTTATCTACAGACGCCATGTTGAAATGTAAACACTGGCTCTAAACAGGGGGGTTCGCAGGTTTTGCGCATTTTGTGGCCACTGTACTTTCTCCTTTGTGTGTGAAACAAGGGAGTTGCAACCTACAACTGCACCGCTAGATGCCACTGAATCCTACACACTGGACCTTTAAGGGTATTTTAAAGTAACAAATTATGACAGAGACCTATTTGTGGCAGACAGACACAAAGAGGCACTTAAATGATCAAAACATCATCTTAAAACGACACTCACTGTTGTGTATTCAAAGTAGTAGAGGCAGTTGTCCGTCAGGATGAACCACCTTCTCTTCCAGGTTTTCACTCGGCCCCCTGACAGGAAGAGGAAGAGGAGACAGGAAGTGTCACAAAGGCCGTAGTGACAGACTGGCTGTCTCCCATCAGGAAAAAGAGCAGGGATGTGACACTCATTCATAAAGCTGGTCCACATCCAAACACTTTGCTTTAAATATTATGTTAATTATAAAGTATCATTGTATGAAAATCTACCGACTCAGAGAAATGACTCTTGTAAATCATAAAGTGGGCAATTAAAAAAAGACCAAACAATGCATTTTACATCTCTGATTCATCATGTTTGCTTATTAGTTCACTGCTGTAATTCAATTTCCTATGTAAGAAGAAAAGCTGCTGGTCATCAACCACATGATCATGACATGTGACAATTAGACACACAGATCGATTCTTAAGATAATTACTATGCAGTACACGCCATTGAAAAGTCATTGTATAGTTGTACCATCTAAGACAGGCTGGCTGTAGGTTTGTGTTTTGTGTTAAAAGTAGATTCTCACATTTATGTCCCATTATCATCTTTATTTACCCTTTATTTAACCAGGTAAAAACCAGTTGAGGTAAAATCTCTTTTTCAGAGGTGAACTGGCCAAGAAAGCATCAAAATTTCATGTCGAGTGTATGCCAATTTATCTTTAGAGCTAATGTTTCTTTTATTTTAACTTTTTTAAATCTATTTTCCAAAAACTCACATAATAGTAATAATAACTTCACATATATTGCATGATTCATACATAAGATGCAACACAAAGTACCTAACATAAAGTAAATAATCATGACATTTATGCTAAAGAAATAAAAACAAGGAAAATAAAACATGAAAACTTCTATATTGTTGATCTGATTTTAAAAAAGGAAGGAAAAAGCTGCACGTCTCTCACATGTTGTTTTAAACACAGTGTTTCAGTTTAATGCTGCTGTACTGCTTCCATTGTGGTTGGAGGTTCAAATGTAAACCTGCGATTAAAAGTTCAAAGTTCACTTTGACTTTCTGAAATATACAGACAAGCCAGTTTGAAGAAAACTGAAGCAAATCGAGTATATGATCACAATCAACCACCATTGTCTCTCCTAGATTAGTTAAAAGATGACTCATGCAAAAGATAAATCATAACTGACTCTTCCTTTTCATGTTTCAAGGCAACAAGAAAAAGGAAAGCAAACAGCACTTGATATGTACCTAATGTGGCACGGAAAGCACCCCTGAAGGAACACACATGTAGACAGAGACATTTAAGCACAAAAACACACTGACACACACACACACACACACACACACACACACACACACCAAACCCCAGAGCAAGTTCACCACCTCACGTGTTAACTTGTGCAAACTACATCCCAAAAAAAAGCAAAGAGAGAGAGCGAGCGCAAACGTACGACACGTTGGTTTAAAGCAAGATTCAGCCTCTGGCAGTGACTGCAGAGCTGCGTGTTGGAGGAAAACACCACTCGCTTTAGAGATATAAAGCAGGGACAGTGAGGAAGCTCTCCTGATGGGAGACACATGTACGGTGTGTACGTGTGTGTGTGTGTGTGTGTGTGTGTGTGTATAAGGGCTGTCAGGCACATTCAAATACAAGCCTTTACACACACTTTCACAAAACATGAATCAAAACACGTGCACATGAGCACTTTCTGATGACTTCCAGTGTGTGTGCTTTGACCTAACATTCCTGATTAGTTCCTCTCAATACTAAGCATCCCTCATGGTCACAACACTTTTCACTGCAGCATTTCCTGCTTCGTGGCGCCTCACATGAGCCTATATGAGCCACACATAATTACAAAAGCCCTGGGTTTCCTTACATTTCAATAGACTCTGGCTATTGAATTAGCGTGGCCAAATTTCCGCTCAGCGTAGGGAGAGATTTGCTAAAAAAGGCATTTATTCCTTCACATCCTCCAGGGTTTATTTTTAGAGAGTTAAATTAGAAATATCATATAGTGAGAACTGGTGCGGGGAAATGGCTCCAGGGAGGAACCGTACTAGAATGTAATCATGTTAGGTCTGTGAGCCACAATGGGGCTATTTGCATTCATACTCACTGGTTTGATGAGACGACAGAGACGTTACCCAGAGTTAGAGGAATGTGCAGGTCAGAGCCAGGTGTGTATGTGTGTGTGTGTGTGTGTGTGTGTGTGTGTGTGTGTGTGTGTGTGTGTGTGTGTGTGTGTGTGTAAACATAGTAATAAACCTGATCACCTGTAGTGAGATTGCCCTTTAACCTTTGACAAACAATATCCAGGCTCTTAAACAGTTTTATGTCCAATAATAAATCTTAACGTCTTTAATGTAGTGTGAGCTGCAGAGCGAGAGAGCAAATCAAAAACATGTGCAACAAACAGGAAGAAATGGTAAAACAGAGCACAAAAAACACCAAAAAACTGTATTACCTCACTGGGAAAGCATACATAGCTGGCACACACACACACAAACTCACGCAGGGCAAATTATTACAGTGTGTGTTCCCTCCCAAACTACATTAAGATGATTTTCACAAGTCTGGATCCAGATGTGTAAACAATGCACAAGCACAAACAACATGCCAGTTCCATTTTTCACACTGATTCTGCCTTATGCACACTTCAGACCGTGCATGTACATGGTTTTCCCAACCTAGTGATTGTGGAAATTAAACATATGTAACCTTGTACCCTTGATGGGTAGTCACTCAGCGCTGAGGGTAATAACCAAGCTTCAGTTCCTCTTCGATAAATCTTCTTTAATCAACACTAACATTACTAACAGTAAAACACCCAACGTCACTCTCTGCACTTGTTGTTACACTCATAACTGTCACTCGCAAAACCAACCTAAAGGTTACACATAAAGTTAAAAAAAAAGTGGAGTAACTTAATTCTGCATCTGTTTTTTAAATAATACAACAACGGCAAAATATAATGTATACATATATGTAAGCGACAGATCTAATAATTATCTTCTTACTCTACGATGAGATTATTTTTATCACTTACTTTTAATTAACTACTTTTGTGTGATCAATGTTAGTTTTTTTATTTACAATAATCAGGTTTCAGTCCAAATGCGTGCTAATTTTTATAAAATCTTCTGAAACCTGGTAGAAGAAAACACAAATGTATCCACAATTCCATTAACTACTGTAAACTGGGCGTTGGTTCAACGTCGAGACAAGGAATAGGTGGCACTAATGCTCTGGTCAAGGGGTCCTTTAAATCCTTGCAGTAGAAGAAAGATTGAAACTTTTCCACCTCAGCTAAGCGTAAAAAATGTTTTTGGATGGAAATGCACCTTTAGATACGCAAAGAGCCGATTAAAGGCGTGCCAACATCCATTTTGTGAGCAACACATATGCACGGCTTTATGAACTTGACAAAAAGAGTGTGTATGCATATATCCTGCTTTGTGTGAGTTTAATACTTAAAACTTTAAATCTGATTTTAACTCAACATGATTTCAACTTTTACCAGTGATGGTCTAATTCAGTTTACTGGATCTAAATACCTTACCGTCAAGTGAGAGAGCACGAGCAATATTAACCCCCGACTCTGTCCTCGAGGTCTTACTTGGCTGTGAGAATAAAGCCACGGTTGTATCAAGAAAAAAGTGGGAGAGTAACCAAGTAAAGTCATCCGGGATGTGCTGCATTCCCTCAGCGGGGGAATGCGCGGAGACACACACTAACCTAATTTCAGCAGCCATCCCTCTCTGTCTGGGTTAAAGAACGTGTGCGTCAGGTCATTCCCATCATCCTCTGGGATCTTAAAGGGTTCACTCTTGATGCTGTCGTATAGATTCTGCATAGAGAAAGAAAACAAAAAGAGAGAACATTATGGAACAGCACTAGCTCACATTAACACTTCCAGATGAGCGCGCACACCTCTTTCTCCATCCCCGAAACATTCAACCCAGCCTTCGGATTAACGGTGCATTAAACAAGACATTGACGGATTCTATTTTGGAGACATTGATTCATACCTCAGTGACTCTGGGAGCTGGAAGACTCTTTGACAAAGAGTTTTTTCTGCTTAAATGAAACCAAGGGCACTTTGGTACAGACGTCAGACTACAGTATGTGGGTAGATCAGCTGGTTTTTATGTGTTTTTCTTTGGAAGATCAGGAAAGATCATTAGCATCAGTATCTGGGGAGGAATTCTGCTGAGCTGCAGATATCTCAATTAGTGAGGCACGACTCAGCTCTGCATGGAGAAATTCCTATAGGTGAATTTTTTTTTTGTGCTTAATCATCCAACAGCATCTATTAAAAGCTGTACTTTACACTTTTAATTGTCAAAGTGGTATTAAGACATGTTTTACCAACACTACATTGGATACATTTGTCACACCTAACAAACTAATACAGTCAAAGCTCTCACCCTGAGAAGCTCCTCCGGGAGGTCTCCCCCTTCATTGATCCCTCTGTTCATGGAGATGAAGCGCTCCACGGGGGGCTTGTCTCTGACGTTGGGATTGTGCAGGCTCGTGTTCAGCATAATGATGGCAAATGATAGGACATAGCAGGTGTCTGTGGAGGTAATTAGAGTGTCAGTGTAAAATACAGTACTGTGTCTGTAAGAACACGTTTTCTTGCTTGCTTGATTTGCGTGGGCATTATCAAAAACTACCGAACTTTTGTCACTTGGTCTAGTTTAAATCACAATACAAAGACTATATCAAGATCATTCACTGGTTTATATTTACAAAAGTAAAAAGATAATATATGTATCAATGCTGCACAGTGGACGGTATTTAATTTTTCATTTATTATAACGATATTGAGATAACAGCACAAATTATTTGTGGTTAATTAGGCAGCAATCCATCTCGATTTTTTCACCACCAAATTTAGGACTCTGCCTAATAAAAAGTAGAATTTAATCAACAAAGAGCCCAAAATTCTGGGTCACACACTCTCATGGCGCCCTTCAAGGCCATGAGGCAGTGAAGTCAGTGAACACACACACACACCATGATCCACTGCTCTCGCGACTCAACATCATAACTCCTGCAAACCATCCTCCATCTCATCCATCCACACACTAACTGCCCCAGTCAACATCCCCTGCTCCGTAATTTATGACCCTGAGCGCAGCGGTCCTGAGAGATGACCAATAACTAAGTCTGGGTGTGTCACCACTGCACCACATTAATATTCATGACCTGAGCTGTCACCTGTGTCCTCCTCAACGCTGGCTCGGTTAACACAGGAGCAGCAGACGATCTACGACGGCCCAAGGCTGTGCTAATGACCACTATTGACCGGTGATCAATTTCATTATCACTGCTGGAGACACGAATAGTGATTACACTGCGATTAGTGAGCAAGCTGCTAACTACGCTGGAAAAGGGAGAACTAAACAGACAGTTGGTCCGGTCAAGTTTAGACTGAGAATAAGAGAATAAACATTCGTAAGACTCTCTGGAAGTGGATATTTTAGATTTATACAGCCCAAACAGGTCCAGCTGTCTAGTGGGGGAAGACAGACAGTCAGAAGCATTGATCTAAGGGCTGAGGTGGTCTGGCTGGCCCATAGTATCTGTCCTGGACTGTCTAGCTGAGTCTGACTCATACATCAGTGCAGTGTGTGTATGTGTGTGTGTGTGTGTGTGTGTGTGTGTGTGTGTGTGTGTGTGTGTGTGTGTGTGTGGTACCTGTGGACTGGAAGACGCCGGGATTGCATTGGCAGTACCTGGAGGCAAACGCCTCCATCATACGATCAATCTTCTGGGCTTCGCCAGGAAGTCTGAAGCTCCACAGAAACTGCCTACAACAGGAGCAGAGAGAAAAAAGATAACGACCGATCATGAAATCAGTGGCGCCACCAAGGGGTGGACAGTGGGGCAACGTCGATACGATCACTGCCCCCCCCCACACTGTCCTCCCCTCCTGAGGATTGTCTTTGAACTGTACCAGTATTAGTCTATGCACAGTCAAGAAACCAAAATGCAAAGTACATCAGTCCATAACCCTCATATTGACATACTGTCTGTTATGAAGTCTGTTATATATATGTGTGTTATATAGGTAAAGCACAAATTTAATTGATATATCCCATACGAGGTGAATACAGCATAAGCCAGAGTTATGACTAACACTGTGTGAATAAATGACATCATACCATTGATTTCAGACCATTGCCTTCATGCAGTGGTGATGCCAATGTAGAGGCCTCCATCAAATAAATGACAGGGTCTTCGGCAAAGATGTTAAACCTGGCCCAACTTTTGGTACAACGTAGCCTCATCTGTCTGGGCATTGCGTTAGCCGATTTCATATACTACAATATATGTAATAATATATACAAGAGCACATTGCTGTACATTCATGCAATGACTGATGCCATAATAGACACATACAGTTCTCTCTGATACTATTATAAACCACTACAGTTATGAATGGATGTCCTTGTTCATATTTCACCTGTAGGAATACTCTCACACCAACACAGACCCTTCAGACCCATTAACTCACCTTAAGGCTTGTACGAGGTTGAGGTCTGCAAACTCATGAAGCTCCACAAACGCCTGGAGGACCTTGATGTTAAAGTCATCCCTGGAGAAGAAGGAGGGAGGGTGTCACACATGTTTAACTATTTACACATTTTTTAAATGAAAACTGAAAAGAAACAGACACTAGAGTGCTGGTATGGGATTTGTTTTTGAAAATGCACTTAAGAATCAGAATTTGTGGAAAGTAAAAATCCTGCAGCTATGTCACAGCACCAGTTTCAGACAGCGACAGACAGCGCCGGCTGAGCCAGGCCGCAATGAAATCCCTGTTGTTTTGACAGGCTTATCCCCATTGATTTCCCTTCGATAAGAACCACATGTCCGCTCAGTTATTTTACTGGCATGGTCTCCCGTCGCTGCTCTGCTCCATAAATCCAGACTACCAATTTCCTGGGGCTTTATGCCCTCGTCTGAGCGCGTGCAGTGGAGATATGACAGAGAATTGGGGAGAGGAAAAAAGAAAGATGGAAAGAAAAAATTGTAGAGCTCACCGTTCCCCTAAGTAGTCCCCAATGACTGTTTTGTTGAGCCCCTCGCCTTTGTAGAGGAACTGCGCAATGTCCTCTGGGGTGTTCTGAAGAAGATCGTTCTCCAAAAGAAACTGGATCCCCTGTAAGAAAAAGGAAAAAAGAGCACACTCACACTTCAGTTACCTATTCTGTCTGTTTTAATAACACTGACAGATGGCTCGGAGAAGGCTAAATCAAATCATAAAAGTGTAATTCAGCAGTAACAATGTTATTGATTCTGACCAATAATCAGTTTAGTTTTTTGACCTTTTTTGGGTCCATGTTGAACTTCTTCCTCCCCATAGCGATCTGTTTGTTTCTTTGTGTGGTTTTGCTGCGAAAAAAAAAAAAACATCCGTCAGGTGACAGTTGAGGGTGTGGTGTTGTCCCCTGGCTGCTGTGTTGGTTCAGTAGGTCAGTGTGTGATGGGTTGTGACATGGCATGACTTTGTTTATTCATTACTGTCAACTGAGTACACAGTGGGTTTGAACTGTAAGAACTGGAAATATGTTACACGTGGCTGCATGTGATTTAATATTACCAATTCTGCATAAACTCCCTTTAGTTTAACCTAAATTGCAGCCATTTGGAGGAATATTTCCTGTTTTCACTCGTCTTCAAAACACATTTTGCATGCGCCCCACAGGGAAATCTCCACCTTTATGTGTCTGTGCATGCTCCCAATGCTTCCTGTGTGCCTAAAATAGCCTGAGCCCCTTTGCCAGCTGCACCTGAGACACACACAGACACACACACACACACACACAGTCTGACACATGGCCTCACTCCACCTCATCAACCAATCGAATGAAAGCCTCTGAATACAGACTGTTTGGATAATGTTTAGTGAGGGACTGTCCTGCTTCACTCCTCAAACAAAGCAGGATTAACACACACATACATACATACACACACACACACAGACACACACACACACACACACACACACACACACACACACACACACACACACAACTGACAGGTGTTTGGCCCACAGTGGAGGTAACTACATGGCTCATTGGCTTTGAAGAGCAGAGGAGGAAAAAGAAAGAATGAACTAGTCCTTAGTCAATGAATCGTTTAGTTAACTGACCGAAAATGAATCAACAACATTTTGATAATTAATTAATCGTTGAAGTCAAGAAAACGCAAACATTTGCTGGTTGCCAGCTTATCCAGGATGGGCCAATTTTCTTTGTTTTGTTTCAGTGCAAATTAGTTTTTTTTTTCTAATTTTTCAGCCAAAACAAGCAATGTGAAGACATCACACCAGCAGTGGTTGCAATGATAAGATGATTAGAATGAAATATAATAATGAATAATCAATTAACCATTTGACAAAGTTTTCAAGCCAAAATGCAAAATATTTGCTGGTGATAGCTTCTTAAATGTTATTATTTTCTGCTTTACTTTGTTTTATATAATTTTAAACTGAATATCTGTGGATGTTGAAATTCAATACGTCATGTCTTAGGATTTGGACAATTAAAACTCCTAAACACTTCTTTGTGACATTTTACACACAAAAAAAAAACAATAAGCAATGTAACTGATGATGGAATTAATCATAAGCTGTAGTCAAAAAAGAAAAAAATGAACTCACCTCTCCCCAACACAGGTTAGCTGCTCAATCTCAGTCATTACCTCTGCAATCTCAAACTTCAACCGCTGCAGAGAAAAGAGCACAATGACTCACTATTTCATATCTTTGTGTTTGACAGACAGGAGAGGACCAACATGGATCCAGCTGCAGCAGTAACAAGTAAATACTGTCTATTTAATAGCAAAGAGCATCCTAATGACAGGTTTCCTTATGTTTAAGGCTGATATGGTTAAAATCAATATTACACAATTTTAATAGGGTCTTTCTGCCTTTATTTGATGGTGAACAGTTGTGAGGTGACAGGAAACGCTCAATAGGAGTACTGCTCCACTATATGGACTACAAAAAAAATTAAACATAAAATAATCAAACTAATGTTCAATGCCAATATATAACATTATTATACAGCATTACATTAGATCAGTCAGACATTTAAAACACCTGCTTATGGTAACTTTCTGCTGCTGGAACAAACAAAATCGGAGTTACTCACTTCAATATCATCCAGAAGCTCTTTTTTCCTGCGTCGTATGTTCGACAGCTCATCTCTTTCCTCCAAAGACAGGTCCTCAGGTACTGGAAAATACAGAGAGTTGGGGAAATTAAAGAGCATGTGTGTGTGTTCGTGAGAGAGAGCGAGAGAGAGAGAGAGAGAGAGAGAGAGAGCGAGGGAGGGGCAGGGTTATGAGGATGGATTAAATTAATTCACCTTCCGACCAGTCAGTCGGAATCACAGGGATTAAGCCTCACAGTGCATACCTGTTCAATGAATCCATCCCAAAGACATTCTTCATGACCTAAATTAATACACTAACAGACAGAAGTTCATACACTCTCAGCTATGCTTGGAAATTGCACTATAAATATGTTCACAGAGCTTATTCTACTGCTTTTTTATACCAAATAAAGTTGTTGGCATCTCATCTTAGACAGTGTGGGTTATACTGGTTCTACAGGGACTTAAACATTTTTAACATATTGCCCAACCTTAGTTGCCACCTGATGAACGTGATGAATATTCACTCCCTTTAGCTCTGTTTTTGGTCACAACCAACTCTCCACAGGGAAATATCTGACTCCAGCTGCCAAATGCTCTATTATGTTCACCAGCTGGTTCCTAACTATGTCTGTCGGTTTAGTGCAGGGCGGGTAGTGTACAGTGAGTATTCAGAGCCTTTTTCCCCTGAAGCTGCAGATTCAGGTGGTAATTGTCTGTAGGTTCATCTCTCAATCATTTGATGCATTATCATAAATTATTAAAGTATATAAAATTTTTATATGCTGTATGTATTTATGTGCGTGCAGGTACATGTTTAGTATACGCATATACTGTATGCACTATACTGCAGCCCTTTTCTTGTAAACTGAGGGGGGGGGATAGGGGAGGATTTTGTCTTCTGTCTTTATGTGTATTCTGTTTGTTTATATCTCAGGTCGTAAAAAAAGAGCCATTTCCCACCTTTATGCTGTACCTCTTTACAGTGTTGCACTTCAAATATAGAGCAGATGTTAGATGTTCATTGCACAAAAGCCACATATAGAGAAGTTTCTCATGAGAATTTTCTTCCAATCCAAATTAAAACCACAGAAACGTCCCTGTTGCAAAGCAGATCACTTCCATAAATAACATCCTGTGTGTTTGACACACACACACACACACACACACCGACCACTGAGCATCTGGCAAGGCCTGCCCCCTCAAATATTGGCTTTCTGATAGTCAACTCTCTTCAAACCCTCATTTGGGGTAATTAACACTGCAGAGACGGAGCGGCTCATCATGTAACATGCATGTTTTACTGCACGAGCACACAAACACTGTATACACAGGTGAGTACACATTATACATGCCATGCATACAGAATTTACACTTCACACACACTACATTTATTTTATTCTACACTGTGGGTCCCCGAGAGCCACCTACTTATACTTCATTTAACCGTGCCACGTCAACTTCCCCCCCACACCCCCAGACCCCCTCAGAGGACCTCCCCCTCTCTCCTCCACACATCAGAAAACAGCAATCCATTTGAGAGTGGGCTGACAGGAAGTAGGTCATTTTCACATGGAGCTATACCAGATTGTGCTTCTCCTACACTGTTTCTCTCTCACACACACACACACACACACACACACACACACACACACACACACACACACACACACACACACACACACACACACACACACTCCCCCTCTATCTCCCTCTTTGTCCGCCTCCACCCCAGTGCTTGAAGTGGGGGTGAGAGCAGATTCAAATCCCTCAACTGAATTATACTGCTAAGCAGCTTTGCAATTCAGACGTTTTTCCCCTGTTGTGTTCCACTCCGACTGTAAATAATGGAAAAAGAAAAGTAAAGTTATTTCCTCCCCTCTTTATCTATCTACTGTATCTCTCTCACACACTCTTTCAATCCTTCCCTCTCCTCTGTCTTGCTCTGTAAGACACAGTGACAGAAGCAGCATGGACCATTATGTTCTGAGGGCTTAGAGCTCATGTTATCACAGGCGAGCAGCTAGTCAACAGAGCAGTGATCCAAATGGGTGTAGATGGCTTTTTTAACTGTGTGATCATCTCTCTAACACACACTGGAACACTCTTCCAGTCCACAGGTACCACACACACACACACACACACACACACACACACACACACACACACACACACACACACACACACACACACACACACCACACACACAACTAATTTTAAAAAGATATATGAAACATGGAAAGAGAGATGATCATTGAAAGGTGCAAAATGGGTTAGATGCTAATGGGCTATAAATACCCTGTCTACCGAGCACTGTGCAGTTGAATGATGACTCACCCTTAATTTGTCAAGATATCAAAAATAGGTTATTTTACTGGCTTGACTACAGTGAGGAAAACTGTAAATTTCTAAATGCTCTTAATGGCATTAAAACAGCTGCTGGTGATTTAATTAAATCTTATATTTTGTCTATTGTAACTGTAAGACTACAATTGTTATGAAGACTGTCAGAGGTTTTTGGGGCTGTGTGGGTAGATGAATCTCCAAAGTGGTGTTTTGTTCTTGTTTTTTTCTTTTTATCCCAGCACACAGCAATGCAATTTCCAATTTTGACACTTTCTGTATAGATTAAACAAGATACAACATAACAATTAGTGAGCTTTAAAAGTGCTGGTGGGCAGATTTTGTTACCTTTGGACAGAGCAAGGCTAGCTGTTTCCAGTCTTTATGATAAGTTAAGCTACATATATCGTACAGACATGGGTGTAATTTCATCTTATGTTCCATTAAAGACGATGCCTCTGTCTAAATATTCACCACACAAAAGATTGGTATCGATCTTTTCATCTAACTTAGCACATAAGCGGATTTTCAAAAAAAATGACCAAATATTTTAAAAGTAAGTCTGAAAGTTCTTGACTTTAGTAAAAACAAAAAAACTTGAATTTTATTGTAGTACTTTAAGGACTTCTTTACTCCTACGACTACTGGGGAATGCCACCTGCTGCAGAAGATGCTTGAAAGAGCTTTAATCCTGAAAATCATCATGATGTATTTGTGACTTTCTGTAAAACTTAGCATCTTAACAAGAATTTCTAATAAATCTCTGTTGGTTTTCACTTGTCCTTGCAACCTGAGTTTGTTATAATGGACCCAGTCTGTAGGGGAAAGAGAAAAAAGTTGGAAAGAGGCAACGTCTGAAAGAAACGCAGACACAAAAGGTTGCTCTCAATGCCAAACAGCAAAGAAAGGGAAAGAGTCAAGAGTGATTTAGGAACAGATACCAGCACACCAGACATCTTCACACTCTCTGCCTCTGTTGCTCTCTTTCCTTGGCTTCATTTAAGCAGCCTCATAAAGCAGTAATTGTGGAGCAAAGAGACCCTGCAGGCAACCTACGTCTGTAATGCGCAAAAAAAAGTCCTCCATCCCTCCTACTCTGGCTGAAAGAGCTCGGCTGGGCCGGAGAATGGGGCAGATTGTATAAGGAGACAGAATCTGTTTTGGGTAACAATTCCCCCGCTGTGTGTGTTTTGTTGCACGTGGAAAACACAGAGTAATTTGATATCACTGTGAGGACAACTATGGCCGAGACAGGACTTCTGATGCATTATGCATGAAAGTCTAGGAATCTGTGAGTGTGTGTTTATGTGTGTGTGTGTGTGTGTGTGTGTGTGTGTGTATTCCCATTGAGGGCAAGAAAATCCATATTAGGTTATATACAAACACTCTATGCTTAACCCCAGGCATGGCCACATAGATTACCAATGCAACACCACTCAGCCTTTTCATATTATGACTTAGGGGGCTGCTTTTCCAGTAACAATCAATAAATCATCATAATAGTTCAAACTTGCATGCTTAGCCTTTTCCTCCCACTGGTCTTCAAGCATGCGTGGATAAATAACTGCCAATGTGCTTCAGTTTCCTCAGAAAGACACTTGGTCCATAAAGACTTCTTCAGAGCAAAGGTCACGGAGTAAGTACATTCCCATTTCCAATCTCACGATCACTTTTAACTCTCTTGTCCTGGTCAACCATAACCAGCCAGGTCAACACCACCTCCGGGGTTTAGGGAAAAGGTCATTAATGTCACCAGCCGATTTCAACTATGATCGATATGCTGCTAAGGAAGCATGGACATGATAGCATTGACAGAGTTTATCATGCAAGTGAGATAGATTGGATTGGGTAGGACACAGATTATATATATGTCTGTAATTCTGTGCTTTGGGGACAGCCTTTAAAGTTAAACCTCCTTTTCTTTATATCAAAGCTTGTTTTTTCCATTATTGACACTATTTATGGTCATCAGCAATAGCCAATTATATGTATCTACATCTAGTAGTCATCTCTCAATATGGTAGTTTTCATTGTCAGTGGCGGAGTCCGCCAGTCCTGCGCTGGATTCAAATCCTTCATACAAACAAGGGACTCACAGGAAATGATGCACACTTTTGTCTCATTGATGGAAGCTTCCCTTTTATCGCTGTCTACAGCCATACGCTGCTTCATATTAAAGTGTTCAACTGGTGAACTACAGAGTGGCTTTTATTGTGAAGCCGCCACAGGAGATGTAATGTCATTTGTTGCTGAAGTTTGTGCTGATGCGTCAACAAAACAAGACATGGCAATTTTTGGAAATATTTGTCAGGAGATCAATTTTAAATAATGCAGGGAGTAATGGAACAAGATGGAACAGCCACAATAAGCTGTTAGATGTGGAGCTGCAGGTGACAGACTGTTACTATGGTTTGTACAAACCAGAAAGTCCTCCAGGTACATAACTCCTTTGATTGTGCCAAAAATGCATATTAACTTTCGTCTTGTCTTGTTCCCCAAAGCTGACAGTTTGTTTGGCTGCACTGTAAACCGATACGTGAGTTACTATTCTTTTGTTCTCTGGAACCTAGAGAAGTAAAAACGCACATCAACTAGGACTGAAAGTATTATAATAAACATTTTCATTAAGTAGGAAACCTTCACTCTTTAGTCTCACAGTATTCAGGTCATTGTTGTTATATAATTAGCTATCATTAGCGGTGAAATCTCATGACTCCATCCATTATAACTGTAACTT